CTGGAATGTTAAAAATTAAATACTTTTTTTTTTTTGGGCCACCCTAGTATATCATGCATTGAATGGAATGTAATTTATGACATTTTTTCAATTTAATGAAGTGACACATCACTTAGACTATTCCATAGAAAAAAATTTAATTCCGTTTTTGATATGTGTTGTTGTTAAATGGGTATCATTGTTGAAATATTTCTAAAAAAAAATATTGAATGCGGTTGAAGTTCCAAGACGTACATTAAATTTCCAGTCTTTTGGTTTTAATACGCTCCAATGATTGCACACAGTGAACACTGAACATATTTTCAATGAGCGGACAATACTGTGCGGCTAATGTCCGTAAAGCAGAAAAGAAGATCATTTCGATGATGAAAATACCGTAAACATGGTAATAGTATCTGTGAAGAGAAAAAAAGTGAATGGATTTTCATTTGAAATATATTGTAACACTAGAAATTGAAGGCTCTTTACTCACAAGTGCATATGGTAAAGTCAAAATTGTGAATGCTGCATGCTGTTGTTGTGGTTGCATCTCATCTGCAAATCGTGTCTGTTATAGTTTTGAAGAGTTCGAGTCAGTTTTAAGTACGTCTTACCTCTCCAACTCTCACAGACGCACAAATACACAATCAAACATCGCACTCATATCATCGGTTAAAATGCATCTCTAGAGAAGATTGTTTTACCTATTCGAGTGTTTTAAAATTGCATACGGAGAAATCGTTATTGGAAAGAGTGAATCTCGAAACAATTGCGTTCAATGAGCATTGTATATGCATGGCACAATGCTTTTGGACACAGAGCGTTCACTGAATAAAGGCAACACATGCTTAACACGGCTGTCAAATGTAAACAAAATACAGAAAAGTCTATGGCAACGAACAAAAACAATAGCAACTACAACAACAACCGAAATTAATATATGATAGCGAATGAACGAGCAAAAGCAATAATAACAATGGCTCACACATACTTCAGTTCAACACTCCAACACAATCGCAACAATAGTCTGCAAATATGCGACGGTCGGTGTTGCTGTTGCTGTTTCTGTTGCTGCTATAACTGCTGTTTCCTCAACATACATGCTCTGCTCGAACACTCCACAACAAGCTCAACTCACACCAGCGCCACGTTTGTAGTATAAACGCTCAACCGAAGTACAACTAAGCAGTGTATGTCTGTGTGTATGTGAAATGCTGCGAACTATAGAATGCAATGCAAAGGGAAGAAAGAAACTGGAACCTGTGACCGTACAGAGCAAAAAATATATACGTGATTGAAACGACACAACCATCATCATAGCCAATAACATTTAAAGCATTCATATTCAGTTGCTCTTCGGCAATCGGCGAGTTGGTTTGGTTATAAGCGTTCAAATGTGGAGCGCGCACACGTCTTTTGCATCGCTCTCTATCAATGATAAATCGTGTTTTGTTCCAAAAAACGAACATTTTGTTTGAAAGTTTCAATTTTTATTGACAATTTTTGTTTCTATCTCGCTCTTTCGTCTCGCTGAAGTGTTTTTATAGAATGAATTCAATGTTTGTGTTTGAATGATCACGTCGAAAATATATTTATATCATTTTGCATCAGTAGCTCAAATTGACGACGATCGTCTTTTTCTTGTTTATCTATGGAATTGTGAATAATCATCAAGAGTTTTTTTATGACATATATAATTGGGCACACACTGTCACATCATACACAATTGGTAAAATTAGCCAGCCCATTTTTTTTATTGTGCGTTTCTTTAGATCGGTGTGTGACTACGAAATCCGGTTTAGCAAATACAATCATTGTGAAATTGTTTATTAACAAAACAAAATGTACACGAACGGAAAAGAAACTGCACAAATTGAACTTTCTTTTTAATCTCGTTGTGTTCACGGTGTACTTAAGCTTCGCATCGTGTATGCGAACGTAGCTAAATTGCAAAACACAAAATTTATGTGTTTATAATGAATGATTGAAATTTCTTTTCCATTAAAGTATACAAAAAATATACAAAAAAAAAAAAAATAATAAAATAAAATAAAGTGATTGTCTTGCGAATGCAACAAACATCGTTCGCACAGGTGTATTTTTCCAGTAGAGATCACACAATGGATTCAAAAGATCATAACGTAAATGAGAACAACGTAAAAAGTGAAGTGAAATAAACCACATTTTAGCTGAATTTTCAACCGATTATTACGTTTTTCAACCGAAGCGACAAAACACACAAAACTTTCCAAAGTCACTGAAAGAGCAACTACTAGAGCAAAAAAAAAAGAGGTAATAACCTTCTATTTGGACTTTGAAGTTTCTGTGCAGACGAAAAAGAAGAAAGCAAACAATGTAGGACGATTTAAGAACTAGGTGAAAACGATTTATTCTTTTTTCTCAATCAAGCGCAAAATATTTTGTGATCAAAGGAAGACACGTATGAAAATTAGTGTGACTAAACATGGTAATCATGCGACAGGTGTACAATGAAAGCAATTTTGCCAGTTCATTTCACGGTGTTTCATCAGTGACAGTTAAAAAAACGAAAACAATGTCATTATTTGTGATTATATTCGGGCTTGTCGTTTGGCCGTTATTTGGCACTATCGACGCGGCCAAAACTCCGTCACCAGTCTATGTAAATAAATGTTGCCGCGTTGGCGAACAATTGGAGCAAAATAAAGAGTGTTCGTTTGGCGGTACAAATGAGTGGTGGCCAGTGATATATTTAATTGCAAAAACTGATTACTTTAGACCGCATGGTGAAGCGCCACGTTTTTTTAAAGTAAATGAATCATTTCGCCCCCGTTGTCAATCACCTGAATTGATAAATGGTGCACATACGATGGCACTTTTTTCCAACGGCACTCTTTATCTTGCCGATCGCGGCGCAGTCATTGGAAGTGAGCATTTTTGTGTCGACAAAGATGTGGCACTTGTGTGCGGCCCAAAATCACATAATGCCGATTTAGTCAACCAAACCGATTTAGTCAATCGAACGAAAGTTCGTAAATGTTGTTTAGAAAAACAAGTGTATCAGAATGATATTGGGTGTGTGACACCCCGGGACGAACATGAAATTATTGAACGGAAATTAATAGAAAATTCAACAAATCCGATTGAATATCAATATTACGGTTTTCCGCAGTGCAGCAAAAATAGCAATAACAATCCATATGCTATAATCGGGAAATTCAATGAATCTACGTTTGATGACAGCAGCGGCAATTTGACATTGTCCGAGGGTACCTTCCAATCTAACCAATACTGTTTGGAACATTTCAATGACACTGGCACGGCAAATGTGCACGTTTTCACGTGCATAGAATATCTACCGACCTCTGATAAATCGGGAAAGGTGAGACAATTAAAATTTACCAAATCAATTGAATCATTTTTTTTTTCTCGATTCAATGCAAAAAACAGAAGATTACTTATTTCCATTTATAGCTGGAATTTTTTTTTTATATTTGAAAGTGAAACAAATACAATAGCACAATGTAATGGAAAAAAAATTGTATTTTCAGGGGGAATCGAGATTGGCACTGAACATAATTGGCTGTGCGCTATTAATATCAGTTGTATTTTTGATCGCAACACTCGCAACTGGATTTCTACTGCCAACAAACCATCACGTCTTGCATTGGCGATGTCAAACTTATTACATTGTTTGTTTAATAGTCGGTGACATACTCCTCGCCATTGTTCAACTATCCGGAAACGCAATCAAGGTTAAGAGCACCGAATGCATTTCGATAGGTAAGTAAGCATTTAACAATTTTCCAAAATGACATGCAAATGACATCGTCGTGCGTTTCATTTGTGTAAATGAAAATGGGTCATTTCGGAATATGCGTTAAATCATTGTATTTTCATAATCAATTGTGTTGAGTCATAAGCTATTTTTGAACTTTATATAACGCAATTTGTTGTTGTTGTTGTGCGGTGACAAAAAAAACAAGTGTCTCATTTTTTGTATGAACAATGCCACTTGCAGGCCAAACAGCTTCTTTCAGCATATTATAGCAAACATTTCATATCAACTCCGGACCGCTCATATAAACAATACGAACACCGAACACAACATTTGCATGATTTCCAGTTGATGTCTGGATTTTATATGGTATTATTGTTTTCTTCACACATATGTGTGACAAGTCATGTGGTCAAAAAAAACTAATATGAAATGTTGACATTAAACAAATGAATAAAGCGCATGACATATCTTACGTATGCTTACGTTTGCCTTGAAAAAATCGTAATAATTATTCTGTTTGAACTCAAAAACAACATCTGAATACACAATTTCCAAAATGTTTATGCGTCAGTATTTATATGTGACTCAATGCGTTTTTTCTTCTTCTTTCACTTTTTTTGGGGGAAGAAATATTTCGAAATGTAATTATATCAATTGGTTTTGTCTGACTGACTCTAATGATTGGCTTCTTGAAACACGGAACTCAAAAAAAAATCAGATTAGCAAAAACACACAAAAGCTGCTAAAATAATTGACTGAAAATGTTGTTGCTGTTTTATCCACATGGGATTCATTGAAATATGAGAGGAAAAGAAAACAAAGCCGATTAAGTGATGCGTGACGAACGCATGATTTAATTTCATATCATTACATGTCGATTGTTTGATGCATACGAATTAGATATTAGACGGAATACTAACCTATATCAATTTTTATTCGTTCTGGTTTTTATTATTTGATTTTACATTCTTCGATACTTCTTTAGCGGTAGCACCACGAAGATGATCAATCGAAACGACCGAAACCAAACATACGGTCGTCTGTCCACTCGTACACACATGCGTCTATCAATCATACGAACGAAAGAACGGTAAAATTCGTGTTTCTTGTTATTCAAATGGAGAAGATACACCTCCAGACTGATGGGCTCTGTATTTTAATCTTATTTGGTGTTAAGTAGTCTTTCATATGAAAATTGTGAAGTAATATGGGAATTTTTTTATATCGGAAAATACCAATGTATAAATCATTCTTTCCACGCACAAAAATGATGAAATTTTGAAATTCATCGAATATTTTTATTTCGGAAATTCAGTTGTTCGACGACGAAATAAAAGAAGTTCTGTTGAAAACTAAAGCGATTGTGTATCTCTCTCTCTCTCTCTCTCTCTCTCTCTCTCTGAGTGTGCGATTATTTGTATTGTTATTTATTTATACGATTTTTTTGTATTCTCGCACAAATTCAATACGGTAAATGAATGGGAACGTTTGCTGAAAAGTCTGCCATATAAAATTGCAATTGTAAAAATTCCATTGCTAACGGTTGATTTTTCTCTTTATGAGTACAATTCTTCACATTACTGGCAGCATATGTGAATATATTGACTCTCTTTCGTTTCGATTCAACATTCCGATGTTAATTCACACTAAATAACGAAGAAAAACACACTCCAAGATGGAAAAATAATGAAATGCGAAAAGAGAACAAACGAACGAAAAAAAAATTGAAATAAAACCAGCATTGCATTAATTGCTGTCAGTCGAACGTAACGTTATTCGTGCGTGGTCTTACTTTGGCGATGTTCAAGCCTCCTCCAGTCGAACATACGTACCGAATTGGCTTGTGTGCACGAGAATAGAATCAAAGAATTAGTGAAATAAATTTTCAAACAAGCACAAAAGAAGGAGCATTCCATTCTTCTTTTCATTTTGTCGGCTCACTCTCTTCACACACACACAGTAGCTTCGAAAATGGCAGCATCAAACAAAAAGTGCCAGAGACACATTGAATGTGAAAGAAAAAATCATACATAATTATATCATCTCAACGAAAAAAAGTGAGGTATGTCTGCATTCATTTCTATTCGAAACACGTTGAATTTAGATCAAACTGCGCGACAATTCAGAATATGCGAACTATCACTCTGTTGTGTTCATTTAATCGTGTGGACGAATAGCGATACACGAAAAAATAAAATAAAATTCTCAAAATAAAAAATTAATACCAAACAATAATCCATAAATAGCATGCTCTGCCATAACTTTCTGAATATATATGAATCGTATCGAAAGCCTTTCATTCGACGAATCTAGGCAAGGCACACTGTCTCGGCATATTCAATAAATTCCAAAGTGACGATAGAATTCACATATATTAAAAGTATAGTAACATTTTTTACGTGCTTGTTCGTAATCAGTTTTTTTTTCGTCATCGTTGTCGTCGTTTTGTACATTTTTCAATTGCGAAAACCTAATCTGAATTCGTGTCAACAACGTCAGTTAGTATTTTTGCCGGTGCGTTTTATTTTTGCGATTCACTAAGAGTGACAAGATGGAATAATTCTCGGCATTTTTTTTATATTTCGTTTGCAAAAATAGTCGACCACGAAGCGGTACTTTGTGTAGTGTTTTCTGCATTCGTAATTGCCATGCTGACGACAGAATCAATTAAAATTCCATGTATGCGACGCATATTAATGCAAAACGAATTGGAAAAATCCATGAGCAATGTCAACCCGATGTTACCTACGCAACATATTGCCCATATTTGACTAGTATCACACCGATGAAACGGTAAACCGATGACGAAATTTGTTTGTTTGTTTTTTTTTTATTCGTGCGATTATCATCATCGGTTGTTTGAAAACGGTCATTTACACGGAGAACACTAGAGAAATTACATTGTAGACAGTTTCAATAGTGTGTTTTGAAACAACAATGAGATTCTCGATTGATATACATATAAATTAATTAACAGTGAAGGATTTTCCGCCAACTCGATATGGTGCAGAGAATTCAAAGATGGAATCACATGCCATGTAATAGCTGTATCATCATTAGTACGATGTATCTAATACCAGCGGCTAAATTAACGTGTCAGCTTTTATCGCCAAACAGTGATATTCTATTCTTGAAACACATCTGCATTGAAAATCTTTCTTTACCTCTCTACCTCTTTCTTTCTCTCTCCCGGTCTTCATGTTGAAATTCTTGAAGCGAAAAGAAAGATTATTTCATTGTGAATGAACGATTTAAAGTTCGATATGCACATTAGGCGTTTATGTGCATGACTGAATTATTTTTCGTTTCTGTAGTTTTTGAAGCGTTTACAACCTTGCCAAAAACCTTACCATATTCTATAACACATTTTCGCACATGTAACGGGACCGATTGAAAAAATCGTTTTTTTTTTTTTCAAGAAACTGTACGTTGTTCTAGTTTTTCCGTTCAACATTGAATACCATACCATTTCCAAATTAAGTTCCTAATTAAAACGCTCAAATGCCGAAACAATGAAATGCTAGGTGTTTCCATTCGAACGAAACACTTCTAATCGGAGTAATGAGATTTGGAAATTTTAATTTCGGTTGTTCAGATAAAATTGACGTTTTCTCCATCATATCAAAGCCTCTAAGCCGGGCCGGTAAATGAATGAAATTAATGAATACCACATCAGTATTTCTGGCTTTTATTCATCCATGGTTTCTTTTGTACATTTTCCACAAAGCATTGCTCCATTCTAGAGTATTTTTACTTGATGTCTTACATCTTCTTAACCATTTTTCAGTGGTAATACACCAAAATATAAAATTAATTGACACCATAATTCGAACGAGAAAAAAAAGAGTGAATACAGACAAAATCTAAAGCCGACAATTGAATGGAGCGGAATGCTTTTAGTTGATGAACTTTGGTTGCGTATTAAGGTCATTTCAATTGGAATAGAAATCAGTGCTAATTCAATTTCATTCAAAAAAAGAAAATACCGAAAAGAAGCGAGATTCGGGCATTGAAAGCATTTTGCTGACACACATTTTGCCGTCGGTCTTTCTTTTCTCTTGGGTTAAAGCGATAATAAAAAAAAAACGCTCCATTTTAACAATAATCGTTTCATGCTTCAAACTTTACTCGAATTAACTGTCAATTACAATTCATAGAGAGGAGAAAAGAAAACGAAACGACGAAAAGATCATATAGAATCTTTTGCAGTTGTTTGGTTTAATTGGAACCATATGTTTGTCGAAATTATTGCAAAGAGATCGTACGTTATTGCAGTAAAAAACAAAAATACACTTTTCAGAAGTCGTAAAACGAAATCGAGCATATTTTCTAACTTAAAAATTTGAATTTCAATGTGCTGACATTCGATTCATCAGGATTCAAGGTTGTCCGGACAATATATGAAAAATGATTGCTTAGGACTATGCACATTTCATTCTAATCATTATGTATTTTGATTGATGGGTACTTGTAAAACCGCTTTCAAAACATACATCTCATGCTGAATTCTGGCACATTCAACCGAAAATTCTTTCTACAAAATACGGAAATACCATTGAAAATATCTACCGAGCAATGCTGTTATTTCAAATATTAATATACAGACATCTGTTTATCCAGCATAAACCTAATGATTATAAATACATAACTAGAACATTTATCGAGGCACATTTGCTTATAAGATAATTGATTTTCATTGTAAATGCAAAATGGTTCGGGCTCGTTTGCTTCAAAACATGCAATTTCGCTTATATACAATGAAATACAATTTGATTTGTTTAAAAAGTTTTAATCCAACTGGGTTATGCAATTATAAAGACGATCTTTTAGTTGAAGTGAATAAGTGACTTTACAAAATCTAAATTTACTCAAATCCAATCTCCAAACACACATATTTCTACCTTCTAATACCAATGTTCTTTTGTTTTATTTTTCTTTCTACTTTCAGCAATAAGCGTACACTTCTGCTATCTCGTCGCGTTCTTCTGGCTTTCAAGCATGTGCATAAATATATGGTGGACTTTTCGGTAAGTAACATGCCACTTTTAAATAGATTCAGTCATTTTTGGAATCGATTTGATCATGTGTTACGAAATCAGAAATTCGATGAAATATCGTCATAATACAAAGACAAATAGACAATAGTAATCAAATTCTTGAAACGAGTGTTCATTAGTCACTTTTTGTTTAGATTTGGTATTAAGCTACATTCACGTCATATATGATTGCGCGTTATTTAATTACATGCTGTTTATTTTGGTCAAACAACAAACACAGAGTGTTGAACACGTGAAGAAATGCAATATGAATATTTGCGTATAATTCCATTGTCATGCACTAGTTGTATATTATTATTTTTCGTACGGTGTGAAAACATCCGATAGCAAACACGGAACAATGAATATGCTTTTGTTGCCAACAAAACAGTTGGTTATAATCGGAAATCCAATGTTGGTGTGATATGAATTTAATTAATGTTAATGTAGCTGGAAAGTGAGAGAACCGGATCGATGAGCATGCCAAATGTCTGAAAGAAGCAGAAAAAAAGAATCGCGTAATCATCGATTTCTATGCAAAAACCAGTGACTCTAAATAGTCTGTAGAAATGATGTTTCTTTCTCTGGGTTGCATTTCTCTAGTCGCGTTTGAATAGATATAGAGAGAAGAGAGAGAGAGAGAGAGAAATGCTATTTTTAGTGCAATTGGCTTTTGGAATCATTCCAAGCGCGTCTTTTAATGTATTATCATTTATAGGCAACTTGCTCGAGACAAAATAATTAATACTCGAATATAGCACCGCATTCCCAACTGCATTTCACTCTGAAATTCATTCCATATGCATGTAGAAAGTGCGACAAAACAAAATTGTGGTTTAAAACCGAATGTCAACTACAATGATTTCATTGAATCAAATCAAATCGAAAAAAGAGGCAATTGATTTCTTTTTTTATCTCTTCATGGCAATAACATGGTTGCCATTTATGCGATCGGGAATTATCGCATTCAAGTTAAAATTTGCACATTCAGATAAAAGTCTTTTTCTCATTTGCTTATTTGTTTTACCAACCTCTCTCTCTCCCCTTTCTCTCTTTCAATTCACACATACATGTTATTATTCGTAATAATCCATGGGAAAAAATTCTCTATGTACAATTTCAATAGAATAATTATTTGTAAAATCCTTGATTTTTTTTGAAAATTTTATATTCACGTGAAGAAGTTTTTTTTGTGAAATAATTTGTAAATGTGTTGCAATGCGCAATCATCTCCGTTCACTTGTTCGTAAACAAAACTAATTGCAAATTTTATACGTATATACATGTATATAAATGTTGCTGTAAAAATGTGCACTGAAACATTTTAAAATGCCAATTAAATGAGATTTTAGACACACATGCATCGACACTAGCGCAACTTGAATCCGTTTACAATCGTGCTGAAACATTTGTTTGCCATAAATGATGTGCGCATTGCATTCTTCTAGCCGAGCATTTCCATTTTTATAAGCATTCATCTTCTTTAAAGAAAGAAAGAAGTGCATGTTATATTGCGTCCAAGGTCGGCAATAACCATTTCAAATCTCTAGCGTTTTATTTCCTTATTCTAAACACAAGCCTAGCGCGCGCGCATATGTATGGATGTATATTTATCTTCTTCGGCCATTAGTTGGTTTGCCATTCAGTTTTTATGGTGATGATCAATAGAAAGGAAAAAGAATGTCTGGATTGAATGCATTTAGTTTCGCATTATAATACACACATTCAATGAACTCGAATACGATTCTGTTTTCTTCGCGCAATAAATGCAACATTTTTTTTTTCACAGAACTTTTCATTTGCTTGGAGAGTGAGCGTTAGAGATTCATGTTATGTATCGATAAGTTGGTCGGTTGATAGTTTTTTTTTCATTCTCTTTCTGTCTCTCACTCTCTTTCTCAATAAATTATGTTTTTTCCATCACAATCAATATGAATTGAATGTATAGAACAGAAAATCTGGTTGTTCATAAACGATTTGTTTGAAACGAAGAAAGAAATCTATGTAGAATGTGTATAATTTTCACTGTGAGTGACACAAATCAGTTTCATTTGTTGTGTGAATATTCCATTTAAATGTAGAGTTAAGATAAAACACTAACAAATATTGGATTTGATGGCGACGAGTGAAATTGTTTATTAAAATCGATTCAATTCATTTCCGTGTTAAGAGTTGTGTGCTTCTGTAAATCGGAACGTGAGCCGTTAAACAAACATCATAAGTTAATGAACTGTCGTCATATCGATACTGGCTACATTTCCACTGATAACTTAACATAGTCGTATGTGATGATGTTTTACATGCGTCCGACATTCAAACATATCCAATACATTGACATTGGAAATTGTCAATAAAATCTCATCATATCAATAGAAATATATACTGATATTGTCGCTATCTGCAGCTGCTATCAAAACAAATGACTCCAGCCGTGAGAGATAACGTTTATGGGTTATTGTGAAAATAAATAATCGCTTCGATTAAAATATTCTCGAAGAAAATCAAGATTTCGAAAGTCAAAGTCACACATATTCTACATCTATTGAAGTGGGCGCGATGAAGATGTAGTGAATCAATATGCATATTTATCACATTCACAATATATGGAAAAGAGCGCTGTTTCTATTTTCATAGATCACAAAAATGTGATCTTTGTTTATTCTCAGTTTGGTTTCCAAATTATGACTGGCGAAGATTATTTAAACAATTTAAATAACAGACTCGCCTGGTTTTTTTAATAAGCTACCTCTCGTGGAATTCAAGAGGCTTCGGTTATAAAATAAACAAACCAACTCAAGAAAGACACACATCAAGAAAGGGAGAGAGAGAGAGAGAGAGAGAGAGAGAGAAAGAGAGAGAGAGAGAGAAACGCACATAGAGAATACTTTGACGGTTATTGACATTCACATTGCAGATTCCATATTTCGAGCCGGTTTAATTTGAGTCGCTCATACGAGTGGTCATTAATGATGATCTTCAAACGAACATGAGGACACACAAAATTAACCATCAAAAAGTGCTTGACGTGAAATATTCCACACTTTATTCATATATCAGTCATCGGTGTGGTTTTTTTCTCTCTCTTTCTATTTATGGTATAACCTCATCATGATCTACTAATTAAACGAAACATCATCACTAGTTCAACTGATACTTCAGCAATATTTGATGCTTCGTCGATTTGTGTTTCCATTTGATTAAATTAATTCTGCCAACCGACGATGATTTTTGATAAATGTTCGATACTTCTAGATCGTTTAGATTCATAGAGCATGTAATGTCGAACCGAATGATGAACGACCATTCCAGAAAAGTCGTTAAGAACATATTAGAAACATTTTTCTGCTTTAAAAATGTTGAGAAATATTTTGATGAGTTTTCTGGTTTTTATCACGAGATTATTTAAATTAAATTGTCAATTATCATTTTTGCAGTGATTTTCGACCTTCAACATTGGAAAAGGTGCAAGAAATGGTGCGATTACGTATTTATCAAGTTTATTCATGGGGCTGCCCGCTGTTAATAATGACAATTGCCATCATTTTGGACAATTTACCGAATGGCGACTTCTTACGACCACGATTCGGACAAACACGATGCGGTTTTGATGGTAAGTAATTCGCATTTAAAACTTCAATTGTTTTGTTTTTTGTCTACTCATTTTTACTATACTTGTTTCGTGACACAAACTTGTTATTTCATTGTTATTAAATTTAGTCATAAAGTATTCAAAAACTATGGTCGTATTGAATTAATTTTGTTGTTGTTGCATGGCATGCTATACTTTGTATAGATGTGAATAAAAAAAATTAATACATTGTTTCCAGTCGAACAAGTTATACACACCAAATTTGGCATTAGGATTTATTGACGTTCTGGATTTAAAATTTTTGCAAATCATACGACTCGCATTTTTTCGCAAGGGAAAAATTTAAGGGGGGTGTCGAGAAAAAAGAAGAAGAAAAAAATCGAGAGGGGTAAGTCAAAAAGTAAAGTGTATTTTGCGAAAAATGACGTGTGTTTTGCAAAAATGTACTTTTTTCTTTTTTTTTTTTGCTCTTCACTTTTTTTGCAAAAATCCCTAGCAAATCGGATGAATTTCTCGCGAAAAACCCTAGCAATTTCAAATATTTTCTTCCATTTCTAAAGTTGTTGAGCAAAAAAAAGGGCTTCACTTTTTTGGCCAAAATCCCTAGCAAATTGAAAGAATTCTTCGAAATTTTTTAAGGGGTAACACTTCGTCAGTGGGGGGGTAATCTGATCCCTCGGACCCCTGCTGAGGACGTATGTGTGGCAATGGTTTTCTTAAAATTATATGCATGAACAATTTCGTATACGCAACATTTTTATTAAGTTTCAAGCATTTTTACCGAATACAACTGAAATTGTCATCCAAATTAATTTATAATACGGGAAATAAACGATTTTTGAGTAAGATTCTTTTTCAAATTCAACTTAATTTGCACACAATAAACTTAGGTAACCAAATTCGGTGGAGCTCGATATTTAAATGATAAATGAGTGTTGACACGAAGCAAGAACATAGGGAGGGAGTTTGAGAGAGAGAATAAGATAAATAGAGAGATAAAGGCAAAGAGAGCGAGAGGGAGGAAGAAAGAAGCAAAATAGAGACGTTGAACCAAAGCCCACACAAATTGATCACTACATTTAAAGAGCAAAGGCAGCAACAACCTTATATTTCGCCATTTAACCACCAACTCTATACAATAAGTAAATAATAAATTTTTGACGATTTTTTTTTCTTCAAAAGTCAGTTTAAAGACAGCGCAATTTATCGAACGATCGAATATTGTTGAAATCGTCAGTCAATTTACATACGAAGAATGAGTATCCCATAATTATTTGTAGAATAGAGACAAAACTGCGATATGGGCGTTTTTCGATTAGTTCACTCGCTGAGCTCATAAGTGTGGAATTAGGTTCTTGAAATAAGTGAAAAAAACAGACACCACACAATTTAATGTTGAAAAAAAAGAGAATAAGAATATATTCATCTGCTTGATTTCAATTGTTGTTTATTCTTATAATAATTTTTGTAAACATTGCATACCGATGGAAAATAGTTTTGGTTCCCGCAAACAGATAGAACTCATTGAATACGCTTATGTTTACTGCCCAATATAATCAATGAAACGAACGGGAACCGTGTAGAAAAAAAAAACAACAACGATCGAGCATCTAAAACTTGATTACTACGCTAGGGTAATTATGACTGATGAGTGTTCATTGGATAATGCGTTCAAGCCCAAGTCGTTTGGTTCTGTTTTTATTGTTGAATTTATCTATTTGAAATAACTCGGTTTGCATGTTTAAATTACGACTTGATATTCCGTTAGCATTTATTTGGTTGGCAATGGAAACGTAAAAGAATGAACTTAAATGAATAAGCGAAAACCGAAATTAGCATAAAATATTTTAAAATTGTTCATAAAATCCTAAGAAAAGATGAAATCGCATTTCAAATAATAAAAATGCGCCAATGAAATGTAGTGCTTTTGATTATTATTATGAGTCTTTTTTTATTCTTAAAAAAAAAAACTTAAAATTTTACCGCTATGCACGAAAGTCGTTTTGGTTGATGCGGTTTCAAGCACACTCGACAACAATATTGTAAATGACGTTGTAGTTCGAAACGACAGTTCTTAATGTCGCTGAACATCAATAAAGATCATGCACAAAGCAAATTTATTGTCTACGCTCTAATGCGGCAAGAGATAGAGAGAGAGGAAAAAAAAGAGTCGATGAATTTATGTAACATGATATTGCCATGTAAGAACAGTAAGTTTTATTCGATAAAAGTGCGACCATTCAGTTATTTTTCCATTTTTGTTTTGTTTCACCGCCGCCGCCGTCGTTGATGATGTTGCCAGTTCATGTTCTACAGAAACATTACATACTGATTGAGAAATCCTTTGAGATCGCAAAACTTGTTCCGTGTTTCATGCTTTGGAATGCTTTCCTAATCAATTTGCGTTCTGTTTCCACTTCGTTTTTTTTTTTTTATATTTTATTCTTACTTTTGTTTTATTAGGTGACAAAGAATTGCTGGCATATTTCTATGGACCGGTTGGTTTCTTGCTATTCGTAAATTTATTGCTCTTTGCATCGACCGCACGACAACTAACCTGTGGATTGTGGAAACGTGATGAAGTTAAATCGACATCGGAACGGTAAGAACCACTCACATACAATAAAAAAGAGAAACAAACCACTTTCAAATGCAAATTGTATTATATAACTCTTGCACACATAAAGTCAAATGATAAGCGACATTCATTTCCCTTAAAATGGCCAGTAATTAATTTATGCGCATTTCTATTTAAAACAACACTTAAAAAAAAAAAACTAGAGCTGCCTTGGGTCGTGTATGCATCAAATTGGTCGTTGTCATGGGTGTGAGCTGGATCTTTGACTTACTAAGTTGGATACATGTAACATTGGATGGTAATCGTCATGCATTTTGGATTTTTCCTGATTTGATAAATGCACTCCACGGTGTCTTTATATTCATTGTTGTGGGATGTCAGCCTCAGGTAAATAAAATCGAGATAAATTCATTTTATCATCGGAAATTGACCAATTCATTTCGTTAAAATAATTTCATTCGCATGTCATTGCGAGCGTATTATTGTGAAAAGTGTCAGTCTTATAACGAGATTAAATGGAATTCGTTTAGGTGCTGATGACGATCAAACGTTTTTGGTGTTCGAAAGTGGGACGAAATACAGTCAACACCACAAATGGACCACAACATTCAAGTTCATCGCAGGGCTTACCGTCGATCGGAGAATCAGTCACCAATAATACATTTACGAATAACTCATTTACTGCCCATACAAAGGCTCCACTTGAAACTGTATGTTAATCTTATCAATATACCTGATTTATTATCAAATGAATACGAAGCTGAATAAAAAAAAAAAGAAAGAGTGAAGACAACGCACCACCAACTTAATCCATCGGTTGATCTTTTTATTCAAGCACATTTATTCGTCTAATTCAAATATATTTATCGAAACTGCCAAATATAGTGTTAATCTTTTAGTCTCTCATGCACTTATTTTCCATTGTCCCAGAGAATATCATATCCAGACATTTGATTCCGCCATTGATAGTTTTAAGTTAGCCGGAATGGATCGGCCCGAAACGTAGTCACCTTCCGTGTATCACTTATGTCGAGTAAAATAATATGTGAAACCAAATATGTGGACATTTTTTTTTCGAGTAGATTCACCTCTCTAGAGGTAGTTTCGGTATCGATTAATTTTTTGATTTTGTGATTCGTAGTTGTAAACTTTATATACATGTATATTTTTAAGCGAGCGAATTTTCTTTTAAATCATGTATAAGCCTCAAATAGCTCTTTTTGGAGCCAATATCGAATATAATATCACTCAAGCAATTTTTTGCTTTCTCTTACTACTTAAGCCACAAACATTTGATACGATAGCAGCAATAATGGCAGCATTATTATGAAACCCATAAACATTAAAAGCAATAGCATATTAATACAGTTTTTTTAATATGTTATATTGAGTACATGCGCATCGCGTAGAATTCTACTCTTTTCGTGTGTTGCACAATTTGGCATTAATAAACGTCTTTTACGTATATTTGGCCCGAAAATAAAAACAAAAAACTGAGATATTATATGAAAATTCGTTGAATAATTCTAAAAAGGACTACTAAGAACATTTTTGTTGACAATAATATTTCAATGAATCGCATTTGAAAATATACACTTCACGTGATTTAAGCAATACACACGCACGTGATACAGTGGTATTGAATTACATTCATCAAAAAAAAAAATTGAAAAAATTTGGCAAAAATAATTAGAGGTGAACGGCAAAAGTATTTTGATTTGAAAGACATACATAAAAAATAATAATATAAATAAAACTTGTCTAGAAGGTATGATAAAAGCAAAACAAAATTAGTCACTTTTTTAATTCTAAAACGTGAATATCGCTACAAAGGGAGGGTCGCACATTGAAATTATCCAAAATGCTGGTGTGTCGAAAATCGGTAAATATTTACCATTTTCGCTCATATTGGTATGTTTAAAAAAGTGTGTGACTCCCCTTGTTTCATTACAACTGCCACAGAATTGGTGAGACATAATTCAATTGAGAAAACGTTTTAGTAATTAAGCCGTTACCAAAAAAGTGATCAAATCGTTACAAATTTAGTGATGAACTTTTCAATAACACCTATAAACCAACATAATAAAGCGATAAACGATGATTTGTATTAAATAAAAGCAAAAAATATTTATTTCCTGATTGGTTGATTTGTTTTCATATAAGTCCTTTACCTATTTTTATGGCAAATTAAATGCGAATATGCATATTGTTTATCGATTTCGTTCGGTTAAGATTATTATTATTTTTTTTTTTATTAAATTGTAAAATATCAAGTATTTAACCAAGCAATAAATTTATTACAATGTATACATGTATGTGCGTTTTCTTCATGCCGGAGCATAAACCGACTTAATCTGTGTAAGTATATATTTGATTGATGACATAAACGAATTGTGAAACGTGTAAAAATGGAATTAAGTGTGGAAGTGTGTATGTGTTTCATATTCGTGCATTGCGAATGGAGACGAGATATTGTGAAATATACAATATACAATTATAAACGCTGACTGATGCGATGAGATGCCGAACCGAAAAAAAGACCCAACAAACCCGGCTATAGAATTTCAATAAATGTGGATTAAGAGGAAATGTATGCAATGACAACGAGCATTAAAAATATGGATCAACATTTTATTTGTTTGATGGCAATTTTAGTTCGTGACTCCTCATAAAATGAAATTTGTTTGTTACCGGCGGCGACAGCCGACTGCCGACTGTGTTTAAAGAGTTTTTTTTTGTCAGAGAAATACAGTGTATGAGTGCATTGTCATGATGATTTAAATGCGTGGCATTGTACTTTGCACTGCATTTCAAAACTGTCGTGGCAGCAAAGGAGAACTTTTTACATTCGATTCAACAAAAAGAAATCCTGTCGTGTGAATTTGAAGAGTACATTTTAAATACAGCAGATTTACGGAAATCTCTTAATTTTCTCGAGTGTTGCACACGCCATTGATTGTGTTCATTCAATTATACTGCATCGTCGGACATTGCTGTATTCTTTTTTTCGTCTTCGTTTTCTTTTTCTTCAGAAAGGTCAGTGCATAAATTCGGCCAAAAGATATGATGACCGGAGAGAGAAAAAACCTTCAGCACATCGAGTGTTGATTGCCTTCAAAGAATTTTACACACAAGTTTTTGTAATCATGACATAAACTTTGTGGTCTATAAACTGAACTCTGTATGTGTATATGCAATTTATAACAAACCGACGGAATCACATTTTGATGCTGCTGTCGTTTCTACAACAGAGACGAACCGAGACGAATGAGATGAAACAAGTCCACAAGCATCATTTTCAAGCGCCACTTTGTTGAACCATATAAATCTAATTATAAAACGCTATGACATATATGTGGGACTTTTATTATAAGCAAATCAAATATAGGACCCGGTGAAAGAGCAATGAATAGACGTAATTATAAAAAATGTGGCAACTATAGCGAATTTTCCACATTATAATATTACAGATGATTTGTCGGTTATGAACGAAAAAACAAGCACCCAAATTATCTAATCAATTTATCTTAGTTTTTCGTCGTGAAAAACAAAATTGAGAGAAAATTTCAGAAATCGCCGATGTGAGCAAATATTTTTTACTGTGATTTTTCATATGTGATCATTGGTCTGTTGATTAATTTTGGGGCACACTATTTCCACTAATTTTTTTTCTGTTTCTACGAAAAGTATCAATTTTTCGATATCTGTTGCGTATATCAAATTTTGCGAGTATAAATATGAGTTTGGCCTTTGAATTCTTTCTACTGCATGATTTATAATTTAAACAAAATACTAAAAACCACAAGATACAAAGTAGCGGCAAATAAAAAGATGTTTACACTTAAAAAGCAGACCGTTACAGTGATTTATATACGTATTTCTAATCTAAATTCAATTAAATTGGTTGTTTGATATCAAAGATATTCTATGAAAGACTATCTTGGCAAAATGCATGAAAGAATGCTGATTGAATAGTCTATTTTTATAATAGTTTTTTCAGCGAATTTTAAAGCGACTGAAAGAAATTCAGAAGAAAAAAACAGAGAAGAGAATCGGCATAAATCGTGAACCGCTCAGTGTTGAAGCGGTAAATTGTGAGCAATTGAGCTAACCCAACCGCATGAAATTTCACACATCGAAAACATTGATTCCGTTTGTATTTGCAAAACAAAAATCGAACAGTAATACAGCAAACAACAGCGTACAACAAAAACACATCATGTATTCCCATTCACCTAAAACTTTCCGAAATAAGCATCACAAAGTAAAAATCAACATGAAAATAAGAGCAAAGTACGACACATGTGAATGTATTGCTTTGCCATCTCGCCGTATCCAACAGAGATCGAAAACCAGAGAGAGAGGAGCAGAGAAGCGGCGTAAGCAACACAGAATATAGTGTGATGAAAAGAGAAGGAAAAGCGAATGAAAAAAAAAAAATCGAAAGCACGGCAAATATCAACAGACGATAATCACAGCCGACCATCCAAATATCCGAAAATCACAGACAAACTTTTAATTCGTATGGTGAATTTCAGTTGCCATTCAGTGCGGTTCGCCGTCAGGTCAACGCTTTTTCAGTTAATTCGCACGAAATATTGCTTTTCGATTTCATCGCTATCTCAATGTGTACGCGCGCGCATTTTCAAAGTCAAACCATTAAATTATATTCGAAAAATTAATTGAGTGTGCCCATTGGGCCAGTGTGTGCACACTACTGACTACTGTGTCTCAACTACACCGACATTAAATGGCAATGCAATGCTATTTGGTGTATACAAGAAACATCGATTGAAATTCTCAAGTGACATGTTTACATTTCTCTTATATACAATTCAAAACGTTTCATCTCGTCATCGAAATAAAATTGCATTTTAATGACATGAAATCGATTTCGTGCTCATCTTTATTCATCAATGCATTGATTGTGTTCGTAGTTTTAAGGAATAGTGAAGCTGTGCCATCGAAAAAAAATGGAATCATTGTGAATAAGTGCTGTGGCCCGGGTGAGCGACTCATCGTTGAAAATAATGCATGCATAATCGATGACGATAATAAATGGTGGCCATTGATTCTTATGATCAAACAACAAAAGTATTTTGACCCAAAAGGTGTTGCCCCGAAATATATGAAGTATCGTCAATACCGTCCGGTGTGTAAAGAGCCTGAACACTATGTAGGCGCCGGAAAAATTGTACTTGGCTCGAATGGGTCATTGTATATATCGGAAAAAAATAAATTCTTTGATCAAAACAATTACTGTGTTGACAGTGGAGATTCTGCGATTGTTTGTGATCATGATGTAAGACAATCAACGAAAATTCGAAAGTGCTGCGTTAAAAACGAAATTTACAAATCTCACGAAAACACATGTATTCCATCAAATGGATTCATATTTGACGACAACACCGTCGATGTGTTGAATTCCACGCAAAATGATGTTTTATTCGGTTTCCCCGACTGTAAAATTGGCAATTTTTTTACGATTGCGGAAGCATTCAAAGAGTCGAGTTTGGATCGAAATACGAACCGTTTAGTGTTAGAATCAAAGCGAGAGGTCGATTGGCAGGATTATTGTCTCGAACACGTTCTCTACAATACAACCGATAATGAATTGCAACTGAGTGTGTTTACATGTGCCGATCATCTCTCTCCTCAAACGGTAAATTTCCAATACCATTACTTGTGTAATGTGTGACGAATTTCGAGTATTATTTGCATAAAAGATGGATTGTCTGTCGGGTGTTTTTAATGGAATTTTCAATGCACATTGAAGAGTATTTATTTTCGCCAATCTAGGATATACGCCTCATCTTGTTTCCGATCGGATTGTTAATTTCCGTAGTGTTTTTATTGGTGACGTTAGCAACACGTTATGTTTTACCATCAAATCATCATATACTTCATTGGCGTTGTCAAACATTTTATGTTACATGCTTGCTGATTGGTGATCTTCTTCTGGCACTCACCCAACTCTTCGGACAAAATGCAAACGGTTTAACATGCTTTTCCATCGGTACGTATGTGTTAAACTATAAAATATATACTACGAAACTAGCATAAAACGAATTCCAATAGGCAATCGTATATTGGCTTTTTATTTTGTTGGCATTTTGTGTCGTTGGATGGGTATTCAAAAGTTTGACGGAAACTTACTCATGTTTACATTGGATTTTTGTGTCGTTGCCGTTTTTTTGCTCGCATGCCAATCGATGGTGTTTAACATTCATTCAGAAAAAAAGTTGGAAGCAAAACATTTCCGATACATCGGCAACGGTTAAAAAGTTTCAAGTTTACATAGACAAACATTTGGCAGGGTCATTATCAGCTTATCGAAAAATGTTCCAGATTTATGAGCCTCTCACATTACAAATTTTCGATCATAAAAACTATTGGTTTTTAAATGCTCTTTCTCAGGAGACACATAAATAAATTTTAAAATAAAAGTGCGTTTTTTGTTCAATTACATTGCCATTGAATCGATGAAAATGCCATTTGGGAGTAGAAATCTGATGCAACCATAATAATTAATTAAATATACAAAAAATTATCATTGCTCTATCTAAAACGTCAAAACAACTGGCGAAATTTTAATGTCAATAAATTCACACTCGCATTTTTGGCTAACGTGTATGGATTGCACACATTATCAGCACATTTTTCAATAACAACAAAAAAACGACCAAAATATTAACGGAAATTCTTTAATAAAATTTATATGTGCGTACATTTTGTTGTGACAATGAGCGCGCCACTGAAGCACAACAAAAAAAGACCAACGTAAAAACAGACTGAACAATATTTATGGTGAACGCACATAAAAAGGCGAATAAAATGCAACCAAAATAGCTCCGCTCACTCTCGAAAATGACTTTTTGTTTATGGCGGAAATCATTTGTGTGCAGGCAGATTCATTGCACCTTTTTTTCTCTTTTCACATTGAATAGTCGATTTCTCGTGTTGGTTTTGTTTGGTTTCCTTTGTTTGTTTGAAAAATTTTTGAGGATTCTTTCTGCCTTTCAGAATAATTGCGTTTAATACTTGTATGTGTATTAGCGTGATAGTCGCATGGAAATGAAAACTTAGGCCTGCAACTGAATATGCATTGCTCATTCATAGTCGATTCTCATCGCGGCATTATTGTCCATGAACAATGCACTGATTTTGAAGGAAAAAAAAAAACGCATGCCATTTTGAATGGAAATAGAGAAAATTCCATAATTCGGCACAGGAATTTTGAATATATCTGTGTTCAATTGTAATTTTTCCACTGATTGAACTTTTACCACAGTTGAACACACCGCCCCGACGGAATAAATATATGCACGTTTAATAACAAAGTCAAACATAAAAAGAATCATTTAAAAATGTGCATGCAGTTTTTGTGACAAAAGTTAACACTGAAACATCATCACTTTTTCATTCCAAGTGGTGACTTGCACAAAACAAAAACAAACTTCAATTTATCGATTATTAAAAATTTCTTTGTTATGTCTACGATGATTGCATTTCAATGTTTATCGACATAATGAAGCAAACTTGATGATCAATCGTACAGTCACAACCGAACAAAAAATGAGATTTCACACAAAGAAAAAAAAACACATCATGGACTGCTGCATTTCTTTTGCTGTAGAATGTACAATTTGTTTAGTCTTGGGGAAAAAACATTGGCATTTACCAAATAAAATGAAATGAATCACGATGAAGTAACAAAAATAATTTGACAAGTCGGAATCGTAGTTAATAAATTCGCAACAGTGTTGCAGTTTATGGCAAACAAGAAAATCGAAACAAGCCGATAACTACCGAGATAATGAATATGCAATGCATTTGACTCATATCCCGCAATGCCGTTCTGTGTGCACACTATTCTTTTTTTTTTTGTTTACAATAAAAACTTTAAATTATTTCTAGTTCTCTTTTGCGTACGGGTCTATGTACGCTTGAATGCGCCAAAAAGAGATTTAAAACTTGAAAAACGGATTCTTTGCAAATCAACTTTCGTTTCTTTCGTCTTGAAATAATTCGCACTTGAAAGAGCCCGGTTTTAGCATCACCGATTTCCAGACAGAAGTTTTACTGCGAATTTTTACACGTTCATCGTATTCACCGAACGGCAAAGACAATTTCAATTTTCTCTCCTTTGAAATCGCAAACAATCGCCGTAATGAATGGAAATCGCTCAAAGGAATTGTTCAAATAGTTTGTGCTGTGTGAATTTGTGTTTTTCGCCCCAAATGCTAAAAAGCTGAATACACCATCACCAACATCCACAACAGCGGTAACTGAAATGAAAAACGAACGAACGAGAGAAGAAAAAAAAAACGATACACAACAAAAATAGTGGATACAAATAAAAGTCGGACGGCGAGAAGGAAGCAAGTGCTGCAACTTTTTTAAACCTAGGTTTTAAAGTCGAAGCTTTGATTATATGGATTTTGCCTACAAAATAAATCTTGAGAACGAACTTTTTCTTCATTGTTGAAAGCACTGCATCAGATTCCGTATAGAGCAAAATAAGAACATAAAACGCACATACACACACACTGTCTGAATAGAGTAAATTATGAAACGGCATTGGCTTTAGCTGCACATTGCCAAAATAGAGGCGAAAAAAAAACCAACAAAATCCACACAAAAGTCAACTCATTTAAAATTGTCTACTGCTTTTAACAAAATCACACTAAAACTATCTCTTTCTCTTGTACATTTTATGTCGTTCCAGCCGTTTGTATGCATTTCTTTTTCCTGTCTGCTTTCTTTTGGCTCAACACAATGTGCATCAATATCTACATTTGCTTTTCGGTAAGTGTCACGGTGAATGAAAATTGTTTTTCGCTCCCATGAAATTCTTTGAATGGTTTTTCGGATATGCGCTAATTGAATCCTTTTTAATTATTCTCATTGAAAATCATTCATTAGTTTCGAGATGATTTTCGAGAGCGTTGTAATAATTGGTGTTAAATCCAAGTGGCAACTGACAACATTCGCTTATTTTACGAACATTCGCTTCATTCACGAGTTCAACATTCAAGTTTGAGTCCGTCAAGTTACTTATTAGCTCGAATCATTTGCTTCACATACATATGTATCACATGTTATATCATCATTTATAGAGACTTCATCAGTTATTACATCATAATCTGAACTTAGTCTCAATTTGAGTTTGTGAAACGGGGAGAAAAAAAAATTAAACTTTACTTTCAAGCGGAATATGTTTCCTCTTTCAAATTCAACGTATTTTTTTAAACTTTTCGAATTACGAACACTGTTCCATCGATACTTTGTAGCGAGCGCAGCAATAAAGCACACGCTGATATTGCGGTCTGTTTATTATAAAATAATCCATTTCAATGAAAATGTAACAAAACATCGAAAGGAAAAAAATCTACCGAAAAATTCAAGAAAACGTTGTGCGTAAATATGTGAAAACTACATATACTTCGGGGCAGGGAAGTTCAAATGTTTGCATGAAGCTACATAACTTGAATAAAATACTTGTTAGCCATACTTATTACGCCTTATTTCTGCACAAATTAACCGTAAAATATGAAAATAGAATTTCATAAATTCTACTAAATCACTGAATCATGATTCACGCAAATCCGTTTCTTCCAAACAAACTTTTGCTATATTTTGCTCTCTCGTCGAAAATTGGACGATTGCCAACATAAATCATAAAGTGGTGCACGCTTTTTTTGTTTCATCTCTCGTGTTGTGTTGTTCACAAAACAAGCCAATAATGTTGGCCATTACATGCTTTATAAGTTTAGTTTTTAAAAGTCAATCTTCAAAAAAGTTTTCCTTTAAAAGTCCACCTACATTATTGGATTCATCCGCTTGCAAAGACAAAAAAGGGCTAAATTAAATGCGACTGAATTGGTTTAATCAAAGCAATTAAATGGTATTTCGGCTGCGTTTTAATTGTACGTAGGCGATTTTGTGTTTTATCTAATTATTCACCGAGTTCATGTTAATTTGTCTTGGTTTTTGTTTCGGTTAATTTGATTCGATTCAGCACGCACAGCGTAGATTTTAATAACAATTGCACATATTTCAATTAAGACTATTGAATATAATATAGCAAACAGGCGGCCAACCAGCTTCGTCGAATCATTGCATCAACAAAGACTCTAATTACGAATGCACGTCCGCGTAGTATACAATTCGCGGAAATTAGTGCTCAAAACGGAATAGACGGCACACTATAAACCATAAAATTGAAAGTGATGGTTGAAACCGTAAACCGACGAGTAAACATTTCAATGAAACAAAAAACATACCGAATTTCTCTTCATATAGTGCAGCTCAGGTTTTAAGATACTTTAGGTTCTATGTTATGTATTCGACTTATAAAAAAAAAGCGATGAATATAAAAAAAATATTGCCATTGGATGCGATTTAAATATTTTTTTCTTTGCAAGTTCGTAGAAAAAAAAAATCGTTCCACATCATTTTTCGGCGAACGAATATTTGCAATCAATTCTTGGATTTACGATGTAAAAAAGAATTTTTGGAAATGAAAATAGAATCATTGTCATTGGGACATAAAAAGAATTTTATATTCATTCAGACAATTTTATGTGTATTGCAGAGATTTTCGGCCAATGTTATTGAACGTAGACAGGAAAAAATGCGATTACGAATATACAAAATGTACGCGTTTGGTATTCCATTTCTAATATCTGGTATTGCGGCTACTTTGGGTCACATGCGAACCGATTCGGTGACAGAAGACACTCATTTTAAGCCTCGATTCTGTGAATCGGAGTATTGGTTTGCTGGTTTGTATCCATTTGTTGAGTTTAATCCATTAGCAACGAGAACAAAAATCTAATTTTGGCTTTGATCACATTTTTATTATAAAAAAGCGACGAGTACATTTACGAAATGCAATTAAAAGTTTTTCTTTCGAAAAATGCTCAAACCAACAAAAACAAAATGTTATTTTGCCCTTTTTCAATGGTCTCTAAAATAGGAAATCTGGAAAAGTTTGCATTCTTTTATGGACCCGTTGGAGTCTTGCTGTTTATAAACTTTGTACTATTTGCGTCAACCGCTCGACAATTAACTTGCGGCCTATGGAAACGAGAGGAAGTCAAATCAACAACAGAACGGTAGCATATTCCCCTTGCAGCGACAAACCATTCGACCGATTTGACATTTTAGCAACAAATTACATATGCCACTTTTCGTTTACTTTTTATAGAACGACGTTAGGCAAAATTTGTATGAAACTGGCTTGTGTGATGGGCGTCACATGGGTATTCGATTTGATTTCATGGACTCATAGTGCATGGTTTGGAGGCTCACACTACATATGGATTGTTACGGATTTGATAAATACGTTGCAAGGTGTTTTCATTTTCATCGTTATCGGATGCCAACCGCAAGTAAGAAACTGATACTATAATCTCTCTCTCACAATCAATGCAAACAACTGCCACCGTTCATTTTATCTCAATCATTTTAACTGCATATAAGCCAATACGGGATACTGATACTTATGATTATATTCAGGTTTCAAATGTACTGAAGCAAATCTGGCGTTCGAAACACATTCAGTTCGAATGTCGAAATGCCGAAGGCGGTCAACGTAATTCCACTTCATCACAGGTTGCTTCATCGCTCGGTGAATCAATCACAAACAACACACTCACCACGTCCAATGCAAAAATCATAGCAGAAACTCCATTCTAATCATCATTCATCTTCATTGTGGAAGCAATGTGGACGACACTATTCGGATATGAATTGAACGATTCGTTTGATTTCAGGCGCACAATGGAATTATTCATTTGGTCTTCATTCATGTGTATAAATGTTCTCGCTGTGCAAGTTTTTTTTTTATTTAATTTATTCACAATCATCAATATACTGTATGATACGGTCTGTATCAACAACATTTTTGGGCATGTTAAAGTAGAAACATTTTGTCTGTGACAAAAATCGCATTGTCTTTGACTTGAGATTTGGTGTTTTTTTTATCAGTATTAAAATAATAATAATAATAATTGAAAAATCCATATGATATGTTGTTTCATTCAATTGATCGAAGCCATAGAGAGCATGATTATTGGTTGGTTGATGAATAGCGCCATATGATTCCAAATACGTCAACGTCGGTACGCGTTTGAAATCATTGTGTTGTATAAAAAATTCGTATCACATCACAATATGATTGAACGTGATCTCAAAATTAACGGATCGAATCAGACATAGCTGCCGAATGTTTCGCCTTCTTTTTCTCTGAAATCAACTAAATACACAAATAAAAATGTTCAACTCAACTTTTATATGGCATGGTTTAAAATCAAATCAAAATGATTGTCGAATTTGCAACGTAAAATTTAGTTCTTGGAACTTTAACCAAGAATTAAAAAAATCGAACGCATATTTTAGGTGTGTATCGTCTATCTTATTTGTGTACAATATGTACGAGCCATTTGAATGGTACACGTACACTTTTTTCGCACTTTAAATATTTGGGGGCCGAATCAATATTTCATTCATTGAGCATTAGTCAAGCAAAAAGGTCTCAGCCATAGTGACGATTTTATTTTTTTGAAAAGTTCAGCAACCTGAAATCTATTGATAAGAAATTGATTTTGCATTTTTTCGGTAATCGGATTTTGATAAGAGCCTATCTGTCATCGTGTAGTTAAACAAAGGATTTTTTTTTACTCAAATTTTGCTAGTCGATAATTTGAAATTTACAAAACAATGAGTTCCATTTCGAATTCGTCATGGTGTACTGCTGAAAATTCATCAAATGAGTCTATAAAATTCATTGATGGTGTGAGCGGCAAAAGTTCAAACTTAAAAGTTTTTTACACAGTGGATAGTGAAATAAAAGCACAAAATGCGAATAATGACGCTCAAAATTGTCAAATTTTACTCAGAACAAATGAACGAATTGAACAAAAATCAAAGTCGGATAGTCGCACCGTTTGCTTTGGAAAGACTTTACAATTTGTTCAGGAAATCAAGGAATTTTACACATGGAAAGTACCATGGATTATCATTTTACTTAGTGTTGTTCAGGTTTGTTTACCAATGTCAATGATGGTGTGAAATTGTGCGCAGCTATTCAAAACGATTCGATTTTTTTTTTGATTCAGGTGGTTGTTTATTTTGTCGCTTGCAATGTGTCTATCGCTCGTCTCACGTTCAATCCACATCTGAAAACAAATATCTGGCGTTACTTCACATATCATTCGGTACATTTCAATTTAACACACTTGATGCTGAATGTTGTGCTTCAGGTAGAATTGGAACGAAACTTTTCAGAATTTTTCAAATTCAACCGGCTCCACTCTGTAGGAGCTTTTCTAATGCAAACGGTTGATTGTTTCACTTTGTTTGGACGGTAGGTTCTCATTGCGCTTCCATTAGAGACGACCGAGGGTCATTTACGCGTGTTGATCGTGTACTTTTCTGGTGTTGTATTTGGAGCCATTGGATCATTGCTGTTTAATCCAACTCAAAGTATAGTGGGCTCTTCAGGAGGCGTATTTAGTTTGCTATTTGGTCATATGAGCCAATGTACTTTGGTAAGTCGTCTTTGTATCAACTGTGCACAAAAAAATTGAATTTTTGTTTTTTTTTTTTAATTTGTAGAATTGGAGAATCATTTCATATCGCTCCTTTCGAATGACTGCCATTTTATTGTTATTTTTTAGCGATTTGTTGTTTTCAGTATTGAAGCATATTTATTGGAGTAGTGTTGAGCCGAAAATTAGCTTTTCAGCTCATATATGTGGAAGTGTAGCTGGTTATTTCACCGGATTACTCGTTTTTAAGAAAGAGAAAAGGCGACGAAGTCCAACTGAATACTAGACACTACAAATTATTGTTTATCTTCTACTCGATCACTCGGATCGTTAATTATTAGGTTCTTGGAAATATATTCTTGAAAATACAACTTGAATTTCTTTTCTTTTTGCATTTATATTGTAAGGGTTTATAACAATTTATCTGATATCTTTAATTTTTAATTTTATAAAAGATCTAAGAGCACAAATTTAGGACTAAATTCTGATATAAAAATGGTCGCGGTACAAAATTAGGTGGAGCCAACGATTTGCACCCTCTATTCTGAAAGTTTTCCATATAAAAGTTAAAATTTCACAACAAAACATTTAATTCTAATGCATGGGATGATTTTACATCGTAAATCTAAGTTCTAAGGTTGAAAAATATTTGCATTAGTAAAAAAAAACAACAATCAATCGAAAATAAAAAAAAATACCTCCCAAAGAAAATAAAAAAACGACCAGGACGGGGATTACACTTTGAATCATAAATCTGAGTTTATTTCCACAACCATTGTGAAATATATGCAAGCCAGATGAGGCTCAAAAAAAATAAAATAAAAATAAAATAAAAAAACACGACCCTGACGTGATTCGATTGAATTCGATTTAATATTACATAGATCATGGTCCAAACGACACAAGACTCGAAAACATAAAAAAAAAACACCTGACCCTGAAGCGACTCGAACGCTCAATCTTCGGATCCGAAGTCCGACGCCTTGCCATTAGGCCACAGGGCCGATATATATTACACATATAAAATGGAATCCGACCTGCCGATGAACTGCAATCGAAAACATAAATCGAATTCAATAGGAAAAACACGTAGATTAAATTTAGTTTTGCTGCACTAATGGCCATACATTCGTTCAGCAAAAAATTGAACCCGCAATCTTCGGATGTCTTCAATCATCGAAGTCCGACATTTAATGCACTTGAATCATTTTCTGGTTATTTTTATATTGTTTGCATTTATTCATTCTTCACAGTTATAAAATAATGATTTTAAAAAATTTAGCATAACTCCTTTTCACGTGTGCTCCATCTAAAAAAAACAAAAAACAAAATAGAAAGAAACGTTAGGTAAAAACTACCTGGTATGGGTTCATTTCATGATGGTATCTAAAATCCCAATATTTAGACAACTATTGTATCATATAACTGCATACTAGACAGTTATTTGTTATTTATTGCGTAAGTGTACTTATTCAATGATCTTTCAGTACGACTATGATAAACTAATTGCTTCGTTGTGTGTCTTCGAATTTTGAAAATATGAATTGGAGGAATAACTTGATCATCGTTTTCGGATATAGGTGCTAATTTGATTTTTTTATTGGCTTGAGTATGCTTCATTGTTCTATCTGTTATTCTGTATAAATTACAAAATGCAATTTTACTCTGATTGCTTTTGATTTTACATTCCGTGTGCCAAAAGTACCGATTTAATTTCCTTTAATCATCCTTCTGTCGGACTAAAGTTTATGGATTTCGTTGAAACAACAAAACTGGTGGTGAATTTAATTGCTATAATCAACTAATTATTTATTCAAAGAATCAAACTATTGCACCGGCTCAGTTCATAATGTGTACAAGAATATGATACACACACATTATAAATCCATTCCATTTGTTTGTTTTTTATTTAAAAAAAAAGATGTTTTCAAGTGAATTGAAAACAAAATCACAAGATGAGAAATTAATTATGTATATAAAGGGTTACTATACTTAACATACATCGGCCCTGTGGCCTAATGGCAAGGCGTCGGACTTCGGATCCGAAGATTGAGCGTTCGAGTCGCTTCAGGGTCAGGTGTTTTTTTTTTATGTTTTCGAGTCTTGTGTCGTTTGGACCATGATCTATGTAATATTAAATCGAATTCAATCGAATCACGTCAGGGTCGTGTTTTTTTATTTTATTTTTATTTTATTTTTTTGAGTCTCATCTGGCTTGCATATATTTCAAAATGTTTGCGGAAATTAACTCAGATTTATGATTCAAAGTGTAATTTTTCACCATCCATTTGCGATTAAATTAGAATAAAATTAATAAAGTTTTTGAAAAATTCAATTGCACAATACAATCAGAGCTAAAGTTTTACAGTACTATCCGGCATAAGGAAACTACAAAAAAAAATCATCGAAAAACATTATTTTTGACAGATTATAACAATATTCATCACATTTTCAACGATAATATTCCCGTAATCATTCTTAATACTTGAGTGGACTTGACAAGTTCCGTTTGATAAAAAATATTTGATCACATTTATGTTTCTTGATGTTGTTGCTCAGAACAAAAAAACAAATGAATTCAATATCCGGATATAAATTATTATTAAGTTTTTATCAACTGAATCTGAGATTTTTATAGTTAATTGTGAAAAATTGTTCTTGGAGGAGACTCTCAATTGCACCTAGAATATGATACTATTAAATAGAGAGAGAGAGAGAGAGAGAGAGAGAGAGATAAGAATAATAAAACATTGTTGAATTTATGTTTAAAAGAAATTGTATATAATTGAATTGTTTGAACATTTTTCCAATTCATTGAAATTTAATCTAAAAGGTTGTAGCGTTTTTCTGAATCAAAGATAAAATCTCAGATTGTTTTTGCCAAGCGTTCAGGATCGCATACATTTATGCGATACATTGAATGATGCATGCATCGTTTGATGCGAATCAAATAACGCAAACACAACGCTAACGATGTCGCTGTGAGTACGGACCTGACAGCGCACGACGTGCTTATATGATACACGTAATGATGTGAATGTTCAATAAAGCAAGACCGTCGTGTGCTACTAGATCCGCACGTACAACGACAGCGTTAGCGTTATTTGATGCGCATAAAATGATGCATGCATCATTCAATGTATCGCATAAATGTATGCGATCCTGAACGCTTGGTTTTTGCATACGTAATAAAGTATTTTGTCTACGTATAATGACGCCTCCAGCTTTGAATGTTAATGGTGATTTAATGCTTAAAAGGCGTTGATCATTGAAGGCGTAAACGTATAAATGAACTCGAACCGCCATCTATCATGCGGAGATATAGCTCAGTGGTAGAGCGTTCGACTGCAGATCGAAGGGTCTCCGGTTCAAATCCGGATGTCTCCTATATTTTTTTTTAAATTTAAATCCATTTATTTCAATCAATTTAGGATTCTTGAATAATTCATGAGTTTTGTTTCGATAATCGTTTCATTTCAATCTTTTAAAAAAAATGTGAGTGTTGCCATTTTTGTTTTGTTGTTTATTTGACATAATTTCGAGATGATTGGTTAGATTCTGAGATATTTTTGAGACAATAAAATAAATACATGAATATTTTCAAAATATATTTTACGCTCAAAATTTCATTCACAAAATACAATGAACAAAATATTTCTGAACAAATATGTTCTTACCTATTGTTTTTTTTCCTCTTGACAAATATTGACAATTATAAGGCTTCGTAATTATAGAATGACAATGAATATTACGAACTTTTTGGTAAACATAGGGAAACAAAATATATAACAGTCAATACAATTTATCAGTAACCTACTATCTGTATATTACAAAAATATTTGCGTATATAGCCGTCCCAAAATTTGACATAGCGAATAAAATCTGAAATGTTTTTAATCAATAAATGAATTCCGATACAGCGAAGAGATTTGTTACCTTTCTTCCAGCACGATCAACCAAATTTGTAGCAATGATGGTTCCAAAAACTTGAATAACTCCAACAATAATCGTTGAATCAGTTGGTGACATGTTGGAACCTGCTTCATCGAAAATCGTTTCTGTATAGTTCAACATCGCTACACATCCGCTGAATTGATTGAGTGCAACTAAAAAAAAACACCGATTGTCATGGCCTTTTGAACTTTATTCGTCTTCAAATCAGACCATTGAAATTTATTGTCTGTCAATAAGTCGTCATTCACAGTTTTGCTCAGATTTTGATAAAATCGAATTGAATTTTTTGCTTCCTGAAAACAGCGTTTAAATTACTACAAGATTGCATCGGATCTTCCTTTACCACCACTTACACTAATTTTATTTTGTTTCACAAGAACAATGGGCGATTCAGGGAAGAAAAATAGCAACACAGCGACTAAGACCATCAAACCAATTACAAACTTTGGCGTGGTGTAGTAATCAAAATAACCACCAATTGCGTAACCTAGTAACATACCTCAATTTTCTGTTAAAACTAATGTTGAGACCAAAGCACCTCTATCGTTTGCAATTTCTGATAGAAACAGTGGAACAATTACATAACCAAAAAAGCCTTTAATTACTCTGGCAGCATACAAATGAAAAACATTCGATGCAAATAAAACAAGTAACCAGCCAAGCTATGAAAACAATTTTTTTTTTTAAATTAAACAATATTGTACTCATCCGATACACATCAATGAAGCAATCCACGAAGCTTCGTCCATTGTCATTTTACCAGATGCCAATGGTGTTTTATCTGATGTAAGAAGAACAACGGCTGGGCTCGTCCAACCTTCCATAATTCCAAACGCTACCGACAGTAAATTTACTGTACAAGATTTTGGAAATTAATACAATGAAAAGTGTTTATTTTATTCTAATTAAATTTTACCAACTAATGCGGTGAAATACTGAAATTTTGCACTTGATTCATGCACAACTTTTTATTCCACCATTTTTCCGAAATTCCGATTTACATGTAATCACAATTAATTTATACGGTCTATTAACAACGGTCACCGCGATGATTGATGAATGACGTTTACATGTTCAGGTTTATTTGATTTTATTTAATTTTTGAATGCTTGAATTTTTATCACCGAATTATAATTTCCTCACGCAATCACTTGCAAGTTGCGTCACCAGCAATCTAATCAATCAAAACAAATAAAACAATCTAATTGCACTTAAACTTGATTATACTAAACATTTATTCCTGGTGTTTGTAAAAAGTTTCGAAATAGATAAAATATGGTCAAGTCAACGACCGAAACTTGTGCGCATCGAAGGATTTTTGGTTTTTATATTCATTCAACTTTATATTTTTGGCCATTTGCATACTTTGATTGAATATTTTGTCCATCGTAACGATTAATCCAGTGATGGTGTATACCAATCGTTGGCCAAATATCTGTGTGACTACGTACGATTCTCACTGACGTTGAGTGACATACAGCTCCACTGGGTTGCTGCAAAACACGTATCACTGGCACCCTCACTGTATTGCTTAGTGAAACAGCTCATTAGTACGTGTGTGAAATGTGCATATTCTTTCACGCACGAACTAGATGGCGCTAATAAACTCAATGTTAGCCAGTGTATACATTTGTGGCAAATTAGCCAGATAATGTGCCCATCACTGGATAGATCTTTGATTTATTGATGATTAGAATAAAATATTCAAAGCTATAAATTGTGAAGGTGCGCGTACTATTTAATGACTCAAATTTCAACGCAAAAAATACAACTGAGCGTACGATCTCGATAAGAATCTCTCGTATCCAAAGCAAAACAAAATTGCCAACATTTATACTGTCATAGAAAAAATATACATGGAATTTATTGAAATAAACATATAATTGTGTAAAAAAATTTTTTTTCACAGTTCACAGATACAGAGCAAACAAACAATTATTACATATTACAAATGAAATAATTATCAATCGCAATCTACATTGTTTTCAATAGTTGTTGTATAGTGATTATTATCGAAGTGAGTCCATGATTTGTTCATAGCTTTTGCTTTTAGTTTCTGGTACATAAAAAAAGATAAACACATACCCAAGCACGCATACTGCAGCAAATAGAAACATACTTCTATAAAATTCGAACGATTCAGTAAGTAGTGGTAACCATTTTACCATTATAAATGTTAATGTCCACAAAATAATCATACAAAATGATACGGAAAAATCTTTTATTTTTTCCGGCATAATTTCCGAGATGACGACAAACGGAAGCGTCATTAAACCCAATGATGCGATGAAAACGACGAATGAAAAACTCACCATTGGAATCCAATTAAGTGTTTCAACTTGATAATTCCAAGATTTTAACATTACATAAATGCCTAAAACAATCAAACCCAAAGCTGTTCCCACGGAGGATATTGCAAATAAAATCTTTCTGCCAGCTCGATCAACAAGATTCGTTGACAAAAATGATCCAAATAGAGAAATGAAGCCAATAACGATGGCTGATTCATTTGGTGTAAAATTCGATCCGGCCTCTTCGAATACATATGACGTATAGTTAAACATTGCAAAACAGCCACAGAATTGATTCAAGGCAGCCAAAACTACTCCAATCGTAATGGCCTTTCGAGCGGTGTGTGTTGTTAAGTCTGACCATGTTAAAGAACTTTCGGTTTTCATGTCAGCAAACATGCTTTGCAATTTACTCATTTCAATTTGAAGTAATTCGTAGTTGGCATTATTTCCATTTAAATTTTGATAAAAATGAATTGATTTTTCAGCTTCCTGCAATAAATTAAAATCAATATTTCGATGAACAATATGAAATTTCGGTATTCCATAAAAGAAAAAATTGTCCCATTTTTTAAAAGAAAATTGCTTATTATACTCACAAGTACTTGATTTTGTTTCATAAGGAATGGCGGTGATTCTGGAAAGAAGAACAGCAAAACAGAGCAAATAATCATCAAAGCAATAACAACTTTCGGCGTCGTATAGTAATCACAAAAATGACCCAAAATGAATGCCAATAAAATGCCTATATTTTCAGCTAAAATAAGTGTTGAGCCTAATACGCCACGTACACTAAAAGCGATATTATATATATATATTTTATCAATTTTATCCATTCGAAATTATTTATGAATCAATTAAATGAATGGTATATTTACCGATCAATTGCTATCTCTGATAAGAACAATGGAATTATAATAAATAAACCGCCTCCGATGATACCATTCAGAATTCTCGATGCATAAATATAATAAATATTCTGGCTGTATAAAATGAGCAACCAACTTATCTAAATCGATAGAAAGTATCAAGCTAATACCGCACATTTGAAATGATGTTGAAGAAAATTACCATCATTGGAATTGTCATGATGATCAAAGGCCATTTTCGACCAAATCGATTTGTAACGAATCCAAATATGATGTTTCCAAACACACCACCCATATATAAAAAGGATACAAGCCAGGAACATTGCTCCATTGTAATTCTACCCGACGGGAGCGGTGTTTCATCTGACATTAACAGGATTATGTTGGGACTTGACCAACCACCTGTAACTCCACTTGCAATTGATAGTAGATTCACTATTCAAATGTATGGAAATAAATGTGTCCACCATCAAAATCGTTCATAATAAGAAAAGCTATATTATTTTCATTCTTACCCACAAATGCTGCTACATATTGGTACTTGGCGCTCTGCATTTGCACTGTATTTGTTTCAAATTTCAACATATCAAATTCCTGTGTAATTTACTAACTTCCAATTGAATGTTCTACGATCAAAGTAACACATTGGTCACACTCACATCAGGGCTTATTTTATGCTAAAATTCTAGCAACTTACAGAAACACCATATTTTGTGTCAACAATCAAAATTCTGTCAATCGATATTACTTTTTTGGTATTGGTATATGAGCTCCCGAGTGGAAAAAAAGTGACTAAGCTACTATCGGCTGTAAGCGAAAATAGTTAGCTGAATTCATGAATTTTAAAATTTTGTATGGAAAACAATCGACTATAGAAAATAGTTAGCTGAATTCATGAATTTTAAAATTTTGTATGGAAAACAATCGACTATAGTTACTCAGTCAGTCGAGCGATTATTTTGGGACGTTTTGACTATCGATTGCTTGTTTTTACAGTCAATAGTCAGTCAGTTTGTCCCAAAATAGTCAGTTACTTTTTTTGTACACGGGCTTCCACGAAGTTTTTATGTATTACAAACACATGCAAATGTATTGTCATAGAACTTCACGCATTTATTGTATACACGAATACAGTCTAACTAAAATATTTTACTAATACTGCTTTTAGCGTGTTTGACATATAATTTCGTTGTTTGACAACAAAAATCGATTGGTACCTCTGAATGTCACGTGAGTGCTAGTTTCGTCAAAGAATTCAATTTTTTGAAAAAAGAAGTTCACAATACAAAATAAATTCGTTCCATTAAAATAAAAATAACCGAAACTAATTCTTTTTCAATTGGCAGCAATTATATTGACCATTTTCACGCTTTTGAAATGAACTACTTTTTGGAATCAAACTTTTTGTTGAAATTAAATCGATGTAATGCGAATTTGGTAAAGGCAACGACTATGGAAATATGCAAACGCGTTCAATCTATTTATAGCAATAAATATAGATAAATTCTTATCAATTTGATTTCATTACATATCTTTTGATATGCAGATAAAAGACAATTTTGTGGTCGTATATAGTATATTTCGTATTAATTTATTCAATTGTTGTCATGTGGAATAAATAATAATTCACAGAAAAGTCACAATTTTTATAGCATTTTATGTCTCTCAGTTTTATCTGGAGATTTTTTTTTGATAATAAAAAAAAGAAACAAAATATTTATCATTCTTTTTCTTTCTAATCATAATTACTAGATATGTTGAAATTTACTCGAAATTATATGAAGTTTTTACTTGAATTTTAATAAAGCTTTTTGCGGCTAACGAATTTGAATTAAAAACATCTAAAGTGAATTCATGATTTGCCTAAAAAAAGAAAATGTTTGAAAATAATAATAAGGTATTGAAAAAAAAGAGAAATATTACCCTTTGTTTCAGGCATGTAGAACATGATGAAAATCGCGCCGGACAAACATGCGCCAGCAAATAAAAACATACTTCCATGGAATCCCAACGTTCCGGTGAGAAGTGGTAAATATTTTAGTATGATAAATGCAAACGACCACAGAAGTGTCATGCAAAAAGATACGCCAAATTCTTTCAGATTTTCGGGTATTATTTCGGAGATAACAAGAAAAGGCAATGTCAAAATTGCACATGACGCAACGAAAATTACAAAAGAAAAGCTTGCAATTGGTATCCAATTAAGTTCTTCGACATTGTATTTCCACGTTTTCAGCATCATATATACTCTCAATGTAATAAGGCCCAAGGCAGTGCCGAAAGTTGATACCAAAAATAAAAACTGATGTTTGCACGAAGGTGTATTTAAAATAAAAAGCACTGAAACTACAAATAAAAACATAACGTACCTTCCGTCCAGCTCTATCAGGTAAATCAGGAAAGAAATGAAAAATCATTGCGCACCAATCAACTGAATAAGTGACACAACAATAGCTGACCAATTTGGCTCCATGTTTGATCCAGCTTCTTTAAAAATAGTAGAAACCTTACTGATCACATGCGATTTCCGATAGAAACAATGGAATTATCACAAATACACCACCACCGACAAAACCGCCAATTATCCGGGCGACATAAAGTTGATAGACATTCGATGCAAAGAAAATAATTAACCAGTTCACATTGGTTGGAATAGAGATGAGAATTAGCAGTAGTTTTCGACCAAAACGATTGGTAATGAATCCAAAAAATATGTTTCCCAATATACCACCCACACAAATCAAGAATGCAAGCCAGGAAGCTTCGTCCATAGTAATCTTGCCAGACACCAATGGTGTTTCATCTGATGTCAATAAAATTATTGATGGACTCGTCCATCCACACGTGCAACCATATCCAATCGTTAGCAAATTCACTGTGTAGGTGAAAATTTTGAATCATATTATTTATCAAATTAACGAACTTTTCTCAACATTTACCAACTATCGCGGGCAAAGTATTGATATTTAGCACTTGCATAGTGTAAAACGTCTTCTTTTACCATGGTAACTTTCACACTGACTATATGCAAGGGGCATTTTACTATATGCGAATGCCATTTTATACGGAATATATGAACATTTTCCTATTCATACATGAAATATACGAAGTAAAGTATATTCATCCGCATCAACATCTATGAAAATTCGTACATTTCATTCGCAACCATTCGCGAATGCCGCATACGTCTTGCTAGATGCGACAAACTGTCGTGTGACATTTGTACATACACATTGCTGTGTTCAGTTTGTCGTGGAAGTTTCAAACACAATGTCATTGTTCTCAACTAAATTTGAAAAAACAGTTGAAGAAAAAAATACAAGATTATTTGTTGAATATTATTTTAGAAGCCGTATTCGATTCGAAAAGTGAGATTTTAGAAATAAATTCAGATAATATAAAAGAAATTGAAAGTTACGTCAATGAAAATAAAAACCTTTCACAAGGCACCGTTTACAGTGATAATATTACGAGTGGCAAAGATTTATTTACCATTTTAGAAAAATTTCACTCAATATTACCAAAAAAAATATCAATTCGGCTTGAATCTCTGTCACCTAATCTGTCACTTTGACTTTTTGAATGTAAAAATATGACTTTTCATATGCGCCATCCGCAAAATGTGTATGAAACATTCGACACCGTCCGCAAATTTGTATGAAACATCCGCCACCATTCGCAAAATTTGTAAGAAACATTTGCGACCATTCGTTTACATTTGCAAAATATATAGGAAAAATTCGCTCGCATATGGATCATTCGTTTAAGTCGGAACCCCCTAGACTATATGATGATTGTATGGCAATATGCCGACGCTACAGATTTTATAAGCTTGTTTGTAATCAGTTGATTTTATCTTCAAGTGATGACGTTTTAAATGCATATGATTTTCCTTTGTCGATATAAATCATATTTTTGAACAATATTTTACATCAAAACAAATTTGATGATAACATTGATTTATTATCACATGCCCCATCTAAATCTAATTGAACAGCGTATTGCAAATGAAGTGATTTCACATCTCACTCAAGTGTACCTGTGCATATGATATCATATGCCTCATCTTGATATGTCTAGTGTCTGCTGCCTGGCTACGTAAAATATTAATTCAATTTAAAAACGACCTTTCATTTTGATTTGAATCATCAATGGATTATTAAGTATTTTATATTTGCTTTTTGTCTTTGATATTTGAACGTGGAAACGTGCCATCAGAGACAGAAGACTCACTTGAAGCAAAATAATTAATAGCACGAGCACCAAAACGCGATAGATTCGATAAATAAACTCAGCAGTTAATTTGAAATACTATTGCAATTTACGGATAATTGAATTAACTCCCTGGATGAACGGACTTTCGTAAAAGAAAAACAAATTGAAATTTTTCAAATGCTCAAAGTTTATTTAAATAAGTTTTTAGAATATAAATAGGTATTTCTTTTCTGATGATAAGTTAAATAAGATAAATGACAAAGACATTGCAAAGTTCCGTATGTTAATGTCATTGAAAAAATGCCAGTAAACGTCAAGTATTTTAAGTGCTTGCAGTCGATGCAGTCGATGCAGTCGATGCTGTTGAGGCGGTTGTGGCAGCTGTCGAGCATCGTCTTCGTCTACGACATACTTTGCTCTTACAACTTTGGCGACGAGAGCATTTGCTGCATTTGTTGCATTTGCTACCTTTCTTGCATGATTTCTTACATTTCGAGCTTTTACGGTTTGTTACAATGTAACTAACACGTTTGGTTTTTGCGGCCCCAGTGTTTGATTGTTTTCGTGACCGTTTTCTCAGTGCATAGGCGATTGGGTCGGCAAGTGCCTCTGGCTATAAATGGGTCAAAACCCGAATTTTAATATATTTTTATTATGATGATATTTTATTAAGATACTATTAAGATCGATCATAATACGGGGTATTACGATGCGTATCAAGTATTGTACAAATAAACATTTTTCCATTTGAATTTTAACAGGCGAAATTTTTATTTGTACAGATTTGTTGAACTTCGCTATCACAATACTTGATACGCATTGTAATACTACTTTACTAGTCTATCAAAGATGTTAATAATTAATAAAAAACTTGTCGTAGTAATTACCTCTGGTTCTGCTTCAGGATCGGCGAATGCGAGTGGCTCTGCTTCAGCATCAGCATCAGCTTCAGCCAATGCCTCGGCCTCTGGATAAGCTATCGGCTCACAATAAGCGAGCTAATTCAAAATTTGAATGGATTCGATATTAGATTTTTTTTTTAAGATTGAAAAAAACTTCTACTTACCACGAACGAAGTTGCGAACAGAAAAAGTACAATTTTCGACAACATTTTCAATGTGATTTGATATATTGATTTGAATATTGACAATCGAATGATTAAATCGGTTTGAACGCAGCATTTTTATATCAAAATTTTTACTAGTTCGGTGGAATATGAAAATAGTAGCAAAATCACTTTTGTTTGAACTAGATTTCGAGGCGAATGAAACAATAAAATTATAGTTCTATTGTTAACCGCAATGTCTATTTTATTTTTATGAAAAGATTTCTATCTAGGTGGTCTAATATCAATAAGCAATGTAAATAAAAACACATTTGTAACTTTTGTCTTCTGGCCAGAACATACGTTTAGATATTGACATCATTTGTTTTTCACGTTGTTTGTACAGTTTGCACACTTGAAAAATAAACATATAAAACAAAGTCATATATTGTCTTCAGAACTAGAAATTTAAGTTTCAGTGCTTCTTTCCATCAATTCTATTATTTTAGTTTAAAAAAAATGATGTTCCCTGTGAACATAGCACTTTTATTTTCGGTGTCCCAAATATAATACAAAAAAATAAGTTCAAGTATGAAAAAAAAAAATTTGCTTTTGCATATTGTCATCGAAAACTTTCATTTTCCCACAGAAAAAAATTGAATAAAAATAATGATGTAAGTACAGCAAGCTGCAGTCACCTAAAATTGACAACATGAAAGTCACATGAAAAGTAATATTGAATCGATGAACAAAATATTTACTCCAGCTAAAAGTTGCCGATCAATAGTGAAGAATCCTTTGCCACCAATGAAAATGTCCAAATTATTGATTTGAGAGAACAATTTCAGCTTTGCCAAATGTAATTTTTTATTGTCGCCAATCCAAAATGTCATTTGCACGACATTTTTAATCAATTCGTTTTTCTAATAGTTCAAAAAAAAAAAACAAACATTTTTTTAATTCAATGGGCTCATTGAACATTAGTCCGAAAAACAAGTCACCTGATTCGAGCAATAATGACAGGAATTTGTCAAAAATGTTATTATTACAATAGCGTCCAATATATTTAAAATTGGACCTGTTGATGAAAAATGTTGTGAATAAAGAACGACTCGAAGCTTATGAAAAATTAAAAAAATATTTTGCTTAAACGCCAAAGCAATTTTTACCGTATGCAAAGATGAAATCTTCCTCTCTAGTAAACATAAGATCGAAGAACCAGTACGAATTAAAAATAATCTGAATTATAAATCTAAAAATGATTATCACCAAAATGCAAGCAAAGTGTTTTTCAATCATATTTTTACACTGCCACAATTTGCGATGTATAAAAATGATATAATTCAACATATCAAAACGTTGTTTATCGCTGAGATTTGTCGCTTTCGAAATTTGATTTAGATTTTTGTTCAAAAATTGTAATATTGAACGAAGCAAATCAACATGAAATAAAAAGTAAAGAACGAATGCATTGAAAATGAAATACATCACAATTCGTACTATTTCCGATGATATTTTAACCGAAGTCGGTGGAACAACTATGCGTACAATTGTATTTACCGCAAGAGATCCTGTTAGTATAGATATTTTTAAAATGTGCCAGCGCAAGAATTCATCAACGTTGAACATTTTGTTAAATTCTTTTTCAATATCTCCATTTAAAATGAGTAACTTTTTAGGTATGCTTTGCACATGGCTCCCCGTTTTAATATTGAAAATAACCATCAACACACTTGGGAATATGATTAATATGTTGAAACTTTTAAATAATATATCAAGGTTTGTCATTCCGATATGTATTTGGCTGTATACGTGAAAATATGAAAAGGCAAGGATTATAAGTGAATGCACTGCGATTGGCATCCATTTTAAATATTTGCGATCTAACACTCTCGGAGCAATGCGCATTTGTGCAGCCAGAAAATATAGCAGATAATACTTGTTCAAACAATTGGGTTGCATGGCAATACATCAACTAGTAGAAGCTTTAACGACACAACGAATGGTTAAAGAAATACTAGTTCAAATTAATTTTATACGGATCCTATTATATGGTGCGCTATAGCTCTACAGGATTATCGAAAAACTTATTCAATTAAAAAGTTTCCTTTCATTCAATAATTAATTGTACTTTTATGGGAATGAAATCGATGGATTTCTTTTTTCTTTTTAATGGGTATACACCATTTATTTGGCTCAGAAATATAGAATTAATAAAAAAGAAAATACAGAGCATTTTCTAGATTTACATTATTCTTTGAAGTAGTCCGGAAAAACGTATATTCAACGTTTCGAAGACATAAAACTCTATTTTTTATATCGCTGAGTATATTTAAATGAATTCTTTTTTCTCTCTTTGCTATGCTTGTGTACATTGCTAAATAAAATCATTTCTTTTTGAATAGAAAATGGGCATAAAAAATAAATTTTTAGCAAAAAATACCCTGTTTTGTATATTTTACAAACATTATATGAACATAAGAACTTTGGTCATCAATAACACTGATGACCACTTAATTATTAACGAAATGCTGTTTATCTTATGATGCGTACAACTTCCTGATGGTTTATTGTCCACTCTATATTCCTGAAAAATATGTAATATTTAAATTTATTCAGAAGTTTTGAACACTAATCAAAGGCATTATATTCAGTGACTTACGCGATCATCTTCGGTGAAACAATCTTGTAAGCGCCTACCTAGGGTTGATCAGATGGAAAAAATGGAAATTAATCAATAAGTAATGGAACAGAATGGAAAAATAATCAAAGGAATACAAACTATGCAATTCATTTATTTTCTCTTTATGACATGGGAACGTATGTGTATCATTTGGAGCTCCAAAATCATATTCAAATTCTTCTGCTTCAGCATTAATTCGTATTTGTTCCGATGTGGAAATTGTATGTTGGACAACGACCAAAAGTAGATTTGATAGTTTAATTCGACTGAAATATAGCCAACTGAAAGAAAGTGAAGTTAGAAAATGGTTCACTTCAATTGCACAATGGTGATACAAAAACCTACTCGTTATCATTATTTTTCTGATCTAATTGTTGCATCACATAGAGTGTAGCTTTTTTATCACACGGTTTTAGTGAATACTTCGTAATGTTTTGTTTTTCTGTTGAATTGTAGAATGTTGTTTTGTTTGAATTGTCACCTAAATTAATGTCAAAAGTGAATTTAAAAAATTAATTAGAACTATTTAAAATTGATATTTCAATCGAATTCTTACTCGATTGGGCGTGAGCCCATAAATTAAAGTTCGACATTGTTAAAATAGTTTCCGTCATCATCCATTGCAAAGCTCTTTTTAGCAATTGTAAAGGCTACCCAATCATAAAAAAGATCCGGTATTAATTGGTATTGTAGTAAAAAAAAATAATGAAGAATTATTACCGTAGAAATTATATTGGCGAAAGATCCAGATGGATTTTCCTCCAGTTTTATTTTGCAAATCGCTTGAAAGTCATATACCGTGATGGCTTTGAAAATGTTTAAATCAACTAAAGTTTTCATTGCTTTTCCCTGGACTTCGCCGAAAAATCTTCCTGTATCATCTGAGTCATTTGACAAAATAATATATCCATTATTGTCGATTACATAACAATCGTAGATTTCATTGTCGCACTGTAAACAATTGTCACACTGCCAAATAAACGTGTGAAATAAATAAAAATTAGCATTGAAAAATGAAATGTCCAACATTTGGATGCATACAGTTGGTTGTGATGTTATTTCCTTAAATCGTTTGTACATTGATTGTTGATCAAATTGGAAACCAACAACGCATGCAGGTGCTTCTTTTCCAGCGTCCATTCGAAAAATAGCATGTGATGCCATCACTTTGATATCACCCTCTTCTTTAACGTCATCCTTGTCATCGTGAGGTACAGCATACACAAAACTTTCGTTATCACTCTTGTGCTGTAGTACAGCTGATCGGTACCATGTTTCATCAATTGCTTTGGTATAATAATCACCAAATTCTCTGCAATAACAAACAAATTAAGATTAAATGGTGTTCAGTCTCAAAATTAATCACAATCATATCATTTTTACTTGTCGCCCTCAACTTCAGTTTCGCCCAAGATAAATTGCCAGCGTGTTAAACCGCTCATTGTAGCTACAAAACGAAGGGTAGCGTTATACGCATAGATCAAATTCTCGGCTTCATCACTTTCAAAATTCCATTTTTTATCCCTAAAACTCGGTTCCGTAACTCTGGCATCAAATACAAGTAGCTCAACCAATTCTTTGTTACAGTAATAATCACTGTTGAATTTTTTGGTTGTTTCTCTTTTGCAGTTTGCTGAAATTAATATTCGTTTTAAACATTTGAAATGTGTGCAAATTATTTTTTACTTACGATGCTCTTCGTCTTTGCCTTTGTCATATGTATACTGCTCATATTGATCTGGCCATTTCATCGATGTGCTTTGAAATAATTCCACAAAGTGCAATAACTCTTTTTCTGAGTTGTCAAATGATTTATATTCCATGTAATGGTATTTACAATAGACCCTTTGCATTGACAACAAAAAAAAAATAACAAAAATTACAAACAATACATATTGGCATACAATATGCTTACCAATCGGGATGAACTTTCCAATTTTGTCCAACAAAAAATTTTGACATTTTCTGGCCTCTGTGGATATTATTTTGAATTTCAGATCCAACGGTAATTAATGTTTGTCCATAGGTGCTTGGAATTGCCAAACCAAGCGTGAATGGAGTTGATTCCAATGGTCCAAAAAAATAATCGTACTTTTCTTCAGACACTCGGCGCATTTTGTCGTAATGAAATCGAATCGAGACATTTGTCATATTCTTGAACTCATGATTCAATGACATGTTACGCAGCTGAAATTTTTTTGCAGTAAATAATAAGCTAATACAATTTATAATGGGTGGCAAAAGATCCAGAAATTATTTTCACACTCTTTTGATATTTGATGAATACCTCTTTTGAAATGAGGCCGATAGATGGTCGATATTTGGGTTTAGCTTCATTCGATTTATTTCCATCTATTTCCTCATCAATTTGCTCAACTTCAGTCAAATCAATACTGTTATAATTATTTTTAAGGTAGACGCATTCCTTTTTATCTAAATCTTTGGGCCCAGGACATTGTGGATCGACAATTTCTTCTGTGTCTCGCTTCAATTTAAATGTTTCCTGAAAAAGTGTTCGCAGAGATGCACTATTTTTGAATTTATTTTATGTTTTGTTTTGTTTTTACCATTGGACGTAGATCCGGATGTAAAAGTATAAATCCATTGTTACTAACAATGAAAGGATATGCGTTCACACCCAACTATATAAGTATTGAATATCGAAAAATATGAGGAATTTGATTGCAAATCGATTTGAATGAAATAGAAAACCTTGTAAGGAAGTGTTAATTTATCAATATCGTCGACTGGTACATCAGTTGATGCAACACCTAATAATCCATAGTAATCGCGAGTTTCATTTGTGGCATTAATTTTATAAGCTGGCACACCAACGGAGATCATCAGACGTGGCAGTGGACTTTCAACTTTTTTCCCATTTGCTGGCACATATTGTTCTTCGTCACGATACGTCACGTCTTTAAATGCATGCGTCCATGTTGGTGGATGTTTTTCCCCTTGGAATACAAGCGGCTGAGCAATGGTTTCAACATAATCGAACACCTTTTCTTGAACTGCGTCTAAATTCTCAATATGTGAAAATCCACCACGATTTGCCATAGCGATGCTCTTCATTTCAGCTACATTGCTTTTATCCTTACCGAGTAAATAGGTAAATATCCGTACAGGTATTTTAGTACAATTGATTCGATTATGAGTTTCAAAAGTATCTGTGAAATTTCCTTCGATATTATCCGTCACCAGCATGATAGCTTGATTACACGGAATTTCATTACATTTTCGCGTCTCTCGATATGTTTTAAGTAAACGAAAACCAGTTTCGATGGCAAATTTAATATGGGTTTCATTTGCATAATTGTAATCGTAATGTTTTTCTTCCATTTTTTCATTAAATGCTTTAATATTTTCTGGTGTAGCTTGAACTAGTTTATTGTCGAAGCAATTAATCAAGGGCTTTACCAAGGGGTTGGATGTATCATTTTCCCTTGAAAATGTGTAAATGTTGAAGAAGTCATTATTCGAAAATGTATCTAACAGACTTTTGATGGTTAATTTTGCAACGAATCCTAAGTAGCCCACCATTGAACCAGTACGGTCGAGAAGAATTACAATATCTTTGGAACATGTGGCCGTTTCAATATACCATGAACGTTTTCGACAATCATACACATCCACCTTTGTAGATGTATCTCGGTCTTCCCAAGATTTTGCCGGAAAGTGTCTGAGAACACCAGTCTCTGAACCGAAATACTGCCAAGATAATGCCGGATCATTTCTATAATTATCCTTAAATACTTCATCCAACTTATCCGACCACATTATTACACTCTTCGTCTCATTGCCTACAAATAAATGATTATTTCATCAATGAAATTATTCATTTAAGCACAAATTTATTAAGCACTCACTGCCATCGTAAACGTTTGTTGGTACGTGCACTGAAGAGTATGTTGTGTTGACCTTTATATGGTAAAAATGTTTATCAGGTACGAGTATCATGGGCTTATATGTTGCATTTTGGAACGTTTTATATCCACAAATGGTTTTTGTCTCCGATCGATTGACACAGGGAACACCATTTATTGTCGAATATTTGCTGGAATAATATGTGTAATTATTGCGCATAATTTTTAGATTTTCTTCCGAAATGCCAGTATCATTTCTTGTGTAATTTCGAAAATACTCTTCGGCCAATTGTTCCGCTCTATTTGCTATACACTGTTTAGATGTGAAAAATAAAAATAATACAGCGATACGATATAAGATTTTTTTTTTCATATTTTCTTATTTTTTCATCATATCTCACCCTAACCGCCACGATTTTTCTTCGAAACATTCTTCCCACCTTTTCCACAGCAGTACGAATTAGTTCACCTTTTATTTTTACTTTTGCATTATTTTCTTTATATTCCTGAAATTGTTTTGTAAATGTCGTGAAAAAAAAAAACAAATAAACAATATAAATGCATTTTACTTTTTTAATTTCATCAGCCCTGGTCATATTTTTTGCCAACCAATACAATTCATCACCAAATTGTGAGGCCCACAAATTAACACTAAAAATAAAAAATCCTGAAATTTATCCAATTTATACATATTATTTTTAATGAAATATATTTACGTGGTTTGATGGTCTACAGATTTTTCATCTGCAGAAACTGGTACCAGATATAAGTGACATAAAAATATGACTATAACAATCGCAGAAAAAAAATAGAAAGGAAATGGTTGTTCATTCTTATTGTGAACTCCCACCATCTTGTACTTTTTTTCTTTTTCGAATATATTTATCGATCAATTTGTAAGAGTATCTTATTTAACTTGAACTGATTTATTTAACTCATTGCTTTTTAATTACAAAAGAGATATTTTCTTTCTCTCGAAGAATCAGATAAAAGATTTGGTTCACTCAGAAACAGAACAAAAATATAACTTGAAATTTTGACAACATGTTCAACGGGGAACGGCCAAAATAAAACTAAATTTAAACCCAGTTAATATGAGATTTCGGGATACATACGGAACGTTTTTTTTTTAGTATATTGACTTTAGTGCTTGAGATCTATCTTTAGAGCGTGGACGTAGACACGTGTTCAATTTTCAACACAAAAACTCGTGAATATGCCATATTTTGTTTAAAAATGTTTTTCTTTTATCCAATCGATCCAAACTCAGCAACAACACTCAGAGTGTATTTGAATCAATACGTACAAATGTCATTTGTTCTATGAACGATATTAGGGTAAAAAAAAATTAATTGCATTTTGTCTACACTTTGATGATACACATGTCTACATTTTATTGGCATGATTCATAAACGGAATAAGTGGAAGTGGGTTTCACCTTGCATAAAACCGAAATAAACAATAACAAGTAACGGTGTTTTAATGTTTTTCGAAGCAAGAAAAGAAAAGCGACGCAATATAAACATTTTGTTTGTATCTGTCTTTAAACGTTTTTCATGATATTTTGAGACCAATGAGAACTGCTTTTTTTTTACTTATTAAATATATTTTATGGGAATGAAATCGATATGTATTAGTTCGTTAACACTGAAAATTATAATGGGAAAAAATCAGCTGTTTTCTATTTTTATAAAGAATTGACTTTTTCTAACAGTGTTATGCTTAATTGTGTAGGGAATATTAAGTGTTTGAAAATAATTTCAAAATGTGCACAAATAGAACGCTTTTTGCATAATGTTATGAAATGAATGATATATTTTATTTTCCAAACAAATAGAATTGAATGGAAAAAATGATATAAGTACACCACGCCGCAATCATCTAAAAATAAGAACGTAATTTTTCAATTGAAAATTATGTGATTATTAAATTTTATATGATCATTATTTACTCCAGCAAAAAATTGTCGATCAATAGTGATGAAGCCGTTTCCAGATATAGATAAATCTAAATTTTGAAATTGTGTCAATAGTTCGTGCTTAGCAAAGTATAATTGTCCGTTGTTAATTGTTGAAAAGGCCAGTTTTTCAATATTCCCCATCAACTCAGTTTTCTTATAAAAGAATAAAAAAGCAAATAATAATTATTTAATTACTGACACTTACACAGTCTCTGTGTGCGGAAAAATACGCACCTTGGTTGAACAATAATGGCAGGCATTTATCAAAAGATTTAACGTTATCAATTCCTTCAAGATATTGCAAAATGGAACTATTGAAGATAAATATTGTATCATAAGTTTCCTGAGAATATCTCTATCTCCATTACGAGGAATTTGATCATATATTAACCTTTTTTTGGAAATTATCTTGTTCTCAAAAGATTCTTGATCGAGTTTTATCGCATCTGTAGCTTTTGAAAATGAGACAATGACACAAAAAAAATGTCATGTGATCATGAAATGAAAGTAACTGTATAATAGTTACCCAAACCGCCCGATTCATTGGTTCCACTTAGAAACAGAAAAAGATAAAAGGAATTAGTCGTGATCTGAATAAAATATCCGAAAATGACTATCATCAATATCCAAGCAGAGCGTTTTTCGATCATAACTTTACATTTCCATATTTTTCGATGCACAAATGCTACATAATTTAACGCATTCAAACGCTGCACATCATTGACTTTTTTCGTTTCAGACATTTGCTTTAAATTTGTATTCATAAATTCCAGTAGAATACGGAGTAAGTCAGTGTGAAAGAAAAAATAAAATTCAAACGCTTCGATGTAAATGTTCAAAATCATCCATGCACCGATAGTGAATTTAGTAATAAAAACCGGAGCAAAATATGCACCAGCTGTTAAATTGGTGAGAGAAAATATCAGCAATATAAAACATTTGCGGATATGATAACGTATGAATTTATCGCCATTGAACGCCACATTGAACTGTTTTTCGATTGAAACTTTTATGTTGAGTAATTCTTTTGGTATATTCTGTTCTTTTCCTTTCATAAAGATGTTTGATGCAATTATCAATATATTTGTCATTAAAATGATAGTTCTGAGGAAAGGCAAAGACCATTCAACCGAATTTTCGGACCGAATCTGTATATTCAAATAGTGGTAAATGCAAACACTCGTTATAATAAAATGTGTAACTATTGGAATCCATTTCAAATATGTTCGTTTGAAAATCTTTGGAGCAGAATTTGTTTGAGCAGTTAGAAAATATAGCAGAAAATATTTGTCCAGTAATTTGGAATTCATGATTAAATCAGTTAATTTTAGTCAAACACAACACATGAAAACGCAAACTACACTAATTCCAATTCATTGTGAAATGACTCCTATTTCTATTCATCTAATTATATTTTCCATAGTTAATGGACATAAGATCCTTGTCTTCATTGGTTTGTTTGGCGTCACTTTTGTTTTTGAACTAATTGTGTACTTGGAAAGTGATTTGATTCATTAAAAAGTTTCCTTTCATCCTTCAATTAATTACTGAGCGTACTTTTATGAGAATCAAATCGATGGACTAGTTTGGTAACACCGGAAAAAAAATATATATTTTGTTCGTGAACAGCTATGAATGAAATAACGAACTCGTTCCGAAAAAAAAAACAGACTCTAATAACTTTGTATTAAAATCGTTCCTACCGATTTTTTCACCTCTTTGAATGACAGCAAGACCAGCAATATTGAGCATTCCCAACCTATTTGATAGTATTTTTCTCGATTTTCCCGGATTTTCCTGAAAATGTGAATTAAAAACGTCTGCAAAATAAACATTTTTTTTATGTTTTTACAATAATTTGCTTTTATTATTTCTTGTGACTGTAATTTGTTTATATTCCACAAAATGTGGCTAAAATACAGTGTATTTCGTTGGATTTTTCGAATAATTTCTTTGTTATAGGTCTACAATAAGAAGAAATTTTATGGGTTTACTTTGAGTTGCTTTCTTTCTGTTAATCCGATTTTTTAAAATGTTTGTATATGTGACTGAGCATAGATCATTGACAACCATTGTGATTTATTATTTGATTTATTATCTATTTTTAATCATTTTTGAAGCAAAATCATTCAAAATGAAGAGAAATCGATCAGTCTTCAATAACGCCAATTATGTTGAACTAAAAAAGATCTGCTTTCGTTTTTGGCAATTCTAATTGCATGAGAAATTTCAAATAGATTTTGCACTGATAACCACTTTGTTGTTATTTAACCTTACTAGCGTGCGTCACTTATCATATTAATACATTCAATTTAGCGTTAATTGGATATGTTATTGGTGCGATAAAAAATGAAAATATCTACCACAAATGTGCTTTTTGAATGCATTCAAACATTGAGCGGTGAACTTGATGGCTGAGATGATATAACAACAAAGTGGGTTTCAGAGTAACTATAATATTTGGAAGTGTGTGGAAGTTTTTTTGTCGATGGCTAATTCAAATGTTCAAAAAAACACTGACGATTAACGCATGCACTTACATCAAATTGATTATTATATTTATAAATTGGATTATATAAATAGTGAATGTACTGCGTTTCAATGAATATTGGCTGACAAATATGCGCATTGTTCATGCCGTGCCATTGCATATAATATTCTATTATTTTTTATACCTAAAATGTCTAGTCCGATGAACAGATGTCGTTCTACAAACAAAGATATATTTATAATAATCGATTGTGCACTGACTCGAAAAGTCGAATGCTTTTTCATTCTTGTACAAATTACACCTATTGGATTAGGCCCAATAAACTACTTCGCATTCTTATAGCCTAAATTCAATAAATATCAAATTGTGTTTGTTTTTGTTTGTGAAAAAATTTGATTAAAAATTTGTGACATAATTTTACAATTGTTTTGTTGCTTTTCGCTAAAAAAAACTTTGTGATTTTTTATTTTAAATACAATATTCTTAACTAGATGGTTGAGAACGAATTTGTTTCTCTAAATATACTGTCATACTTTCACTCGTGACACAGAAGTTGATTTGATTATAAATTTGTTTACATTCATTCAAAAACAACATTCAAGTGGAAAAGTCTCACAGTTGATCGAGCCTTTCAATTTAACTGAGTTATTACAATAATAAATTATTATATTCGACGTTTTGAACGGAATTAAAAGAAAAACACATAAAATAAATCTCATAAATGACAAACTTATTGTTGGTTGCAAATAAAACAAATCAAATCCCATTGGGATCAAACTCGGATTCGACTAAAACATAGTTTTATCTATGACATTACGTTCAATTAATTTTTCGCTTCATTCTAATCTCTTGAAATTATACAATTAAACAATTTAATACAAATTCTAAATCAGTAAAAATGTACGATATCATCTTGTATATCTGCCTATGGTGCTTATGGTGATGTCAACATTGCCGTGATTGTTGTATTTGCTTTGGTTGGTGACGGCGTTCCATTTGATATGCCTGATGAATTGATTGACTTTTTTACCGGTGTCTTTACTCTGTTTGGCGTGTAAAATCGAAGCAATTCCGTTACCGTAATTGATACTTGGACAACACCTTTTCCCTCTAGGACGTCGGCGGCACAGCACATAAGATTCTGAATAGGGAAAAAAATAGAATTAATTAGCATTCACCGTAATAATACGTATTTTAAATGATGGTTATCAAAACACATTCGGGATTAGATCAAAAGAAAATCAAATCATTTTAAAAGCATTCTGGTTTGTGTATAAACTGAATTTGTATATGATTTTATTGAAACAGTTTTTATTATTATTGTTGTTGTTGATGTAGTATGTCTTGTAATTTGTTTGTTTTCAACATGTTCCCTGACATTACATGTTTTGTGCGAGTGTAAAAAATATTTGCGTTTGCTATCCAAATAGAAACGGTTACGACTAAATATGTGTTACAATTTCTAATTTCATCAAATGGTTAGTTTCTATTATAGGTTCTACAATTTTTGTTCTACCGAAAAAAAAATCATATTTAGTAATTTACTGAAATTCGAACCATTGTTGCGTGCGCAATTTATATGTGTGAATAAATCTCAACACTTCAACAATCAACATAGGCCAATTCATTTCAATTCTAATCATCACATTACCATTTTTCAACATATAACAACCAATTATTTTTCAGGCTGCTCTTTTCTTAAGCAATTTCAACTTTTCAATTTCCTAAGCATTCACATGCAAGGTCTGCTGCAATTTTCTTAAATTTTTGCTGTGATTATATAATTTTTATATATATATTTTTAGTATACAAAATATATGCTTGCATTAAAATATATATGTTTATGTTTTAATTTTCATATGATAAGGTCACCTGCTTGACCTGAAGAAACGGATCTTTTATCCATTCCAAATCATCACTGGGACAATGAATGCACAAATTATATCGCAAATAATTGATTAAAAAAATTCTATTCCGTTTGCATAATATTATGTGCAACATGTGCAAACAATTAGAAAATTAGGAACTTCAAATATGCTCGCGATAAATGTCAAATAATCTCTTTAATGTAAACAAATTGACGTTAAATTTTGGTATAAAAATTAATTTTAATTTCATAAAATAATTGTTGTTTTACTGTTTTTCTCATTTTCAGAATGATTTTTTAAAATTTAAAATGAGCAAATATCTCAAAAATTTATTGAAGTACATAGAAAAAATATCGAAAATGTTTCTTAACGGAATTTCCGTTCAAAATTGAATTTTTTCAATTTTCTTTAAAAAAAAAAACGTTTTTATCGCGAGCAATTTTTCTGAATCTATTTCTGTTTTGATTTCGATAACAATTTAAGTACATTGTTTTTCATTTGATAAAAAATTAATTATTACTGGCGCAACATAAATAGAATATTTTATAAAGCTTTCATAAATAGCACGGTTGGCTTCAAAAAAATCCACAATGTATAATGGTTTATCTATTATAAAAAGCCAAATAGTGTGTGTATAACGCGGTATTTCATTGTTCAATTTGGAATGGCCAAAATTCACATAATACTGAGACTCGTTTTGAAAATATACCTGGAATGGTTCATCCGAAGTAATGATTTTCTTAAGGCTAATGCTAATGAATAATCACTGAATAAATAGTATAAATAAGTATATCATAGTTGCCCATAATTTAATCGCTTAAACCAAAACGAAACGCAAAATGATAAAATTATAGTTGCCTAAATTAAAACTGGATCGTTTACGATATTTTTGGTCAGTTCTCTTTGTGTGAAAAATCAAGTGATGTAATTATCGAATTTAAAAAATAAATTCTTCTGTATAATTTTACGGCTTTTTTTGGAATAAAAGTAAATTTGCGCGTAAAAAATCTTTTTAAAATAATAATAATAATAATTTGTAAATACAAAAAAATGAGCCTCTTTAAATATTTTTCAATTTCCCTGTTTGTGATGTACCGAATAGTTTTTAATTCGATAATGGATAGAAAAAGATATAAATAAGCGACAAAATGAATGACGATAGGCAAATAAATGTTGATAAACTCGTATCTTCATCTTTATGAGTATTTGATTTAGGTTCGCCTGGACTGTTGTTAATATTTTCAAAAAATTCAATTCGTTTCATAACGATTTTCTCTGATTTGTTCAGATTGAACCATTCGTTTGTTTGATTTGTTTCGTTATTTCGATGCTTTGGCGTTAAATTAAGATCGTTTAGACTTTGATCTTCATTGCTACTGGCACTGTTCGTACGAATTGTTGCCGTTTCTTCGGAAAACTCATACGAACCACTACTAGTGTCCGACATTAATTGATCGGATGTGCCGACTTTGCAATTGAATTTGCCAATGTCACTGTCGTATTCGCACTCTTCGATGATTCCATTCAATTCGAATCGTTCCGAATATTTGGTGTTACTCATTTGCTTGTAGGTGCGTTTTAGACCCGTTAATTTACGTTTTTTCGTCGTAACGACATCGGTTACTGTTGATGATGTTGACGACGATGGTGATGTATTCAAAATGGTTGTGTTAGATAAAATCAAATTCAATGTGTTAGGTGTTTTGCGTCGCGTTTGCACAGGCAATGATCGTTTATCAACAACATTCACTTCCATTGGTTTATTAACATTATTGTTATTGCTAATGCTAGTATTATAGCAAATACTGTTGTTAATATTACTAGCCAATTCAATTTCTTGTTTAAGATTTGGTGTGGTTGTTGTTGTTGGGTTAGTACTGGTACTACAGCACAAACTACTACTTTGCATCGCATATTGTTCGGTATCGTATTGATCATTAGATGCACTGCAATCAAAATCAACAATTAAACTATACTCATTGAAGTGATCGGCATCAGTCGTTGTTGTCGTTGCGGTTGTTGTTAGCTTTTCACATTCAACGGTCTTGCATGGATCTGTGGGTTGATTGTCCAACAGTAGATGTGCCGATTTTTGAAAATGAATGCCGATTTGTTTGAAATACCGATTGTAACTGTCATGTTCATCGATCATCAATCCTTCACAATGAATGCCCGTGTTCGTGGTGTTGGTTACATTTGTCGTTTGCTTTGCACTGCCTGTCAAACGCTGTGCATTAAAATCGGCGATCGATAGAAGTGCGGCCACGGTGCGATACATAGCAGCTACATTTGGTGGCGATACATCCATGTTGATGTCGTGATGTTCGGTTTTCATGGTTGCCTTTTGACACTCGTCCATCGTTGTTGAGTCACACGATTGAACATCATCCGCTGGTACAATATCAGCGCAAGAGCATATCAACTCCTGCAACCAACACCAAAACAACAGGCAGTTAGCAGTGTGAAATTTATTTTGTTTGTGAGTGTGTGTGTGTTTTTTTTTTTGCTTAAGCTTAAAGTAGTCGGTAGCAACGATATTTATGTACAACAAGTTTTCTTTTTTAAATTGAACAAAGCGATTTTGAATTGAAAAAAAAAAAAATATATCAAAAGGCAGAGATTTGAATATAAGCAGCGAATAGAAAATGTGCAATTATTTCTTAAAATCAAATATGAGTGAATTACAACATGTGACTTTAACGGTACATTTTTTTTCATAATATTAACTATCTCATGCCTACCTCATCAACACCAATTTTCCGGCATGCATCCAAAAAGTTATCAACATTTCGACGACATCGGGCCATGGTTAGTTTTGGCTAAAACAAATGAGAAATTCATTAAAACAACGTAGATCAAAATAATACTTGAAAAAAAATGTCGATCCTTACAACAGCCGGTGATGGAACGTGAATGCTCCCGACCGATCGGGGTCGAACGTGATTTGCCAAATGGCATAAAACAACACCATCAGTCAACGCGGATCCCACGTCTTTCGGTAAAGTCATTTTCAAACGACTTTCAATCGCCTTCCGTAGTTGCTCAATTAATTCGCTTTCCTCTTTTTGTCGATCAAATTCGCGACGCATTGTAAAACTTAATTTTTCGGCTGGTGAATCACGGTTCCAGGACACACTTCTGAAAAGAAAAACATTACATTTTTCATAAATATTCAATTTTTTTCAACGTTATCTTGTGTCATACCTTGGGCTTTTTTGTCCTGATTTAATGTTACCGTTAGTTTTTGGCGTGTTGGTTAAATTCGTGGCCGGAGATCCATTTGAGCAGTTTATTGTGTTTTGTTTGGCCGGACTATTCGGTTTAATGTATGCATTGTATTCTTTGGTTGTTGTTGTCGTGGAATTCAATTTATTAGCGATCGAAACATTTCCGTTCGTTGGACTAGTAACTTGTGGTTGTGGATGATATTTAATTGGTGTGCTATTTCGTGATGGTGTAACCTTTTGAATTGGTTTATCGCCTCGTAACGGTGATTTCAATATAATTGGTACGGTCGTTCCATTGCTGACATTACTATTAACCGATTCAGTGGAACCATTCGATGTATTTGAACCATTTGCAGTTGAACCAATATGTTTAATGGTTGAATTGTGTGCACATTGCGGTGATAATGATGAATTTGTACTCGCTGTACTGTTTGAGCCATTTTGAATGTGAGTCGATGTCGGTGTTGAGGTATTTGATTTGATTGATGTATTCTGATTTGGCGGTGATTCTTGCGTTGTCACCGTCGTTGGTAATGTTTGATCTTTTGCTGGTTCCTTTGGTCGATAAATGGCATGAGCATCTTGATTTCGTTGCTGTCGCAACGCTTCTTTATATTCCCTATTGCATAATGAAAACATTTCGATTAGTACAAAATTTAACGTGAAAATAAAAACCGGATTTTTGTTTGTTTTCTTGTTAGTCATCAAGCAATCACTCGGCAAACAGGGTTAGTGTGGCATCTCCATTCTAATTTTTTTTTTCTCACAAAATTAACTTAAACCATAAATGCCAAAGCCATTTTACAAAAAAAATTACAAAGTGCGAATGTCGTATAATCTTAAATGATAAGATTTTACTAACCTATATGTTTGAATATTGCCTAATGATGTATATTTGTCTCCAGATTTAACACTCAACATATCGATTTCGGGAGATACATCATTACTGCTTTTTATTTTATTTTCATTTTCCACATATATACGAAACCATAAAAAAGAAATCGGGAATAAAGAAAAGTATTTAAAGAAAACAAATAATTGGCTATTTCATTAAATAAAATCATATGAAATGATATTGAAATGATAAATGAATGATGAACATTGACGAAATGGTGTGCAAAAAATGTATAGGTTGATGTTTATGTATGTGTGTGTGTATTGGTGATGAAATGGTGTTGAAAATTGATGATAGCAAGATGAGGTGAAATGAAGCTGCGTGATTTGAAATTTTATGGAAAAACGTTTTACACACGTGGATACGAACCTGTTGTTACCGTTTAAGCTTCGTTTTGGTGTATTTGTGTTGTCTACTGAATCGCTTGTTTTAGAGTATTCACTAACGCTACTTTGACTTGAAGTGAGTGTGTTATTGTTACTTCCCACCGGCGATGTCAGCGTTGGCGTTGAATTACCACTCGTTTGTGATTGGAATTGTGAATAATTTGAAGGATTTGGTGATTGTTTATCATTGTTAAATATTGATTGTGCCATTGTTGGTGACCATTTTGAAGAAGAATGTCCATTATCGGTAACTGTTGTGGTGCCATTTGAATTAGTGGTGGTGGTCAATTCCTGCGACCAACGTTTATCATAGCCATCACTTGTACTGTAACCAGAGTCAACATTTTGACGACGAATCTTCTGCAAATCAGACAACGGTCCACTGCAATGTTTTGCGGCCGCATTCCGTCGCAACGTTGTGTTTCCATCATAAGTACCACCATTTCGTGTTTTTTCCTCTTTTAAAGCCATTGTATCGAGATACTTAAATACATGGACCAAACCTCTAATGCACAACTGTAAGAGAATCAAAAAAATGAAATTAATGAAAAAGACATAAAAAAAGGAGAAAATAGCATTTTATTTCGAAAGACTGCATTCATTAGCACATAATTATTTAGTCACTTACACTCGCTGGGGGTGATGTCAGTGGATTGCTACTCAGCTCTAAACGCACCAGATCTGTCATATGCCGCAGTTCAACTGGCAGTGATGCTATTCGATTGCAGCTGACGTCCAATGAAACCAATTTTAAACCAGTTATGTCTAGAAAAAAGAAGCATATCAAATTAATTTAAAGCACGATTAACGAAAGACGCAAAAAAAATGTTGTAGAAATAAGTGAAAAGTAATACGAATAAAAAAAGATTGAATAAATAACAAATATAGCATAAAAATAGAGTTATTTTCATACCTCGTGGTAAATAGACCAATTGATTGTTGCGTAGCGAAAGCGATTTCAAATTTTTCAAGTCACTCATTCGTGCCGGCAAATGTGTGATTTGATTGCAAGCCGCATCCAATTCAGTGAGTTCAGTCATTCGTCCAAGTTCATCGGGCAATGATATCAGTCGATTGTTTGAGACCAAAAGCACTTCGATTGGTAAAAAGCATAGCTCACGCGGTAATGACGTTAGCAAATTCCTCCTAAACAAATAACAGAAATAAAAATATTATTTAAATCGTTCAATGGGTTAATCAGATTTAGCAGTTTAATCATATGCCATTTTCGAAGTGGAAGTAATTACAATTGAATAAAAGTTGCAAATGCAAAAAACTGAAGGGAATTTATTCAATTAGTATCAATTACAGCAGTAAAAATAATCAGAGCAAAAACAATGAAAACATGAGCTCAAGCATGACGAGTGTTAAGCCAATGAAAAAAAATGTTATTCTTACTCAAATTTAAGCCATTTACAGAATAGAATGTTTTGTATACATTTCATTTTAATTGGATTGAGTAAATCCGGCATTTTTCACGTTGATCTGGTTTTTTTCAAATTTTTCGTTTTTTTTTTAATTACTTCTACGTTTTTTGCCTTATCATGTATGCCTTATCAAAAAATGTAAAGTTCCTTACCGTAAGTCCAAAAATGACAGTGAATATAATCCACGAATTGATTCTGGAATGGATCGTAGTGAATTGTGGTACATGAGCAATGTTTCGAGGAATGGAAATCCAGTGACATCTTCGGGCAATTCACATAGTCGATTTCGAGATAAATCTGTAATCAATAGAAAACCAAACATGTTAAAAGTCATCATAATAGGATTTATCGAACGATAATAGTAGATGCATTATCTCAATGGCAATAGATAAAGATTCATTGATTGAATCTAGCAATTTTCTTTCTTCGTATTTTGTTGATTTTCTGCAGTTTGTAGTCGAACATCCGCTAGAGCGTTTCGTTGTACAAAATATGTGTTCAAATAATCGAAACCCTCAAGAAGCGAATGTGTCGGAAACAGAGTCATATGTGGACGGAGTGAGAAAAAGAGGGTGAAACAATGAAAATCAATATTTGCAACGGGCGTGAATCAACGTTTCTATTCTGTTTGAGCTGACGTCGCTATATGTGTTATGTATCGGTTATTTTCAATATCAAAGTTTCAATATTACGAATGTCGATGTCTGTCGCGACACATCTGTGTACAATAAGATAAAAGTGATTATTTTGTTACTTTCCAAAAATAAAACCCGAACCCTTATTCCGGTGAAAGTAAACAGAATTTCTTTATTATGTTTACATTGAGCTCGTGTTTATGTAAGCCAGCGGCTGCCAACCGTTGCCAAGAGATTTACTAATTAAACTAAATTTGATTTACTTAGGATTTAAACTCAGCCTTGTGCACTACTTTCGATTCCTTGGTATCTTTTTTCTACATCATTATGATTTGTTTGCATTTTGTCTCGAGTTTTTTTCTCCGTTTGACTTTCATTCTTCCACCATGCATCTCTCTCTCTCTCTTTTCGTATTCAATTTTCTCTGGTATTCCATTCAACCTTGCGAGGACTATTTACATAGCACACTCCAAATTACAAAAATAACCATTTCATGTCAAGCGAATTAAGAACGCTACGATTAAATCAAAATTGTTTATATGTCACGAACTCACACCGCATTGTATATAAATGTGCAGCATTTTATACGGTGGGCCTAACATTTTATCGTACGCTTGAAATTTTTGCCGGCCGATCAAGCATCATTAAAGCAACTCTCGTAATTTATTCATTACGTGCACGTTCACAAAATTATTGAGAGAAATAAAACAAACTTTGTGCCACATCGTGTTATGTTCCGATGAAATAAATGGTTTGCTCATTTGAACGTGACGACGTTCATTTGGCGCAAATAACTACAAAAACAAATTGTTTGTATAGTATTTGTTTTCTTTATCTTTTTTGTATCTTTGAATTCCTGCGAATTTCGATGGAATCAATTTAAATGAAATCATATGAATTTTTTCTATTGCGCAGATAGATCGAGACCCGAACCTTTGATCAAGTATGTTCTTACAATTTGGCATTCGGCCAAAAAACATGCCAACTGAAACTAATTCGCTTATGCGCGTTTTGCTTGATTTAATTTCAATTGACCGGAAAACTGCATAAAAAAGTTCATAGATTTAAACAATCTATGACTTAAACAGACACACATACGGCGAGATAGAATTCACACACAATACGTCGAATCTACGCGAAGTGTACAGCGGTTGCGTTTGACCCAGAATAGAGATAACTGGACATGCACTTACAATTTAGCAGTTTTAATGGAATTAAATAGGATGCTACTTAATGGGCCGTTTGACTTGTTCGGTGCCCTATTGCAGCATATAACATACATCTGTCTACTTTTTCATAGTTCATTATGTAAATGGGATGCCGTCAATCAATATAAATAAACGATAAATTCGTCTCTGATCAATAAACAAAATATAAATTCTATTGATTAGTTTTCATTTTTTTGTCGCCTATTGAAAAACTATTGATAGTTGGTTTTTTTTTATTTATGATACGCTGTTCGTTACATTGACCTGCTACGCGATTAAAATGCGAATAATTTTCACCGTATTGACCATAAAACACGTTATTGCCTTGTGGAATTGTGTGTTTTTTAATGCATCATCTTATTTTCAATTGCAAATATGGCTTTGTCGTAATAAATCTTTTCTATTTGTTTCGTCTCGCTCGACCATTTTTATGGTGTAATTTGAATTTACGATAAACAAACAAAAGTATTCAATTGAATGGAACTTGTATGTATGTCTGGTTTTGAAACGGTTTTTTTTCTTGGACGATTTTAATTTGCTGAGTTCGTCGATTGTTCAAGTGCATCATGCATGTAATAAAGAAAACGAAGAACCATGAACACACATAAAATGTAGTATGGTGTTTTTTTCTTCAAGAAAACATCAATTTTCATTAGGCGGAACTAGTCGAACTGGAAGGAAATCAATGTTTATCTCTGGCACTGGAAGAAAACATTTTTGCTGCGCTGTTTTTTGCGTTATTCTTTGGCAAATATTCAAAAAAATCAGCAGTAACATCGACGCGGCAATCAGTTGTAATTGCAAAAACGGCTGTTGCGGCAGTTTTGAGATGGTAAATTTGCAGCATTTCCGTTACATCAAAAATAGAAGGAAATTTATGCACAGAAAGCATCCGTCAGTCAATTTCATCGTTCTCAACATTTTAATCGAATTTTGGTGCATTCAATCTGGAACGCGCGTCATTTATCCTTTACCGAACCACACGTTCATTTCAGCTTACACAAAAGAATTTTAATTCCATTACGGACATCGAAAAATCTGCTCAATCTGTGTGTGACACACGTTTTGACATTGTGGCATAGCATATTAATGCAATTTTATTGCTGTTTTGTTAATAAGTCGCATACAAATTAACAAACATAAAATGCAAATACACGCTTGAACTGAATGTGTCCTTCGCACATCGCACCAGAAAAATAAATGAATGCACCCTTCTATTAATTTCATTAAATGTGAATCGAATCATCTTTCGTTGTTCAATTTGCATTCCACTCCATTTAGATTTCATTTAAATATTTCCACTGAATTTCATCACGTTTCATGCTGTATTGGCGGTCGTTTCTCAAACCGAACTAAATCAACGTATTTATGGAATGTTTTTTTTTACGATATAAAATATTAAACTACAATGCGAAACCATATTGCGAACGCAGTAAGTATATAGTATATGACGGATGAAGAAAGGAGAAAAATGTAAATTAACCGCGTGCATGCTAAATCGCAAACGTGTGTGGGCGCTCAGTAATCGCATGTTTGCATTTATGAGAGATGGAATGAAGCATAAAAACTGAAACATTTTATTTTGTGGTTTCGATCGTCCCCTTTGAGTAAAATACTCTACACATTTTCAGGGGTTGATTCACGTTCTAAAATATTTAAATTTGCGACATTAAATATTAAAGATTCACGTCGACGGCTTCTATTTACAAGAGAATTTTTCCTTCCTCGTTTTTTTTTCTTATCTCATTTAAATCTTGAGCATCTTTTCTATATTTTTCCATTTTGATAACTCTCGGCAAAAATAACATAAAGATGGAAAAAAAATATCACTTGAGTTATTGGCTAGACCAAATGCCATAAAATATAAATCGATAAATAAGAATGGAATTTTTATCGGCTAGATTTTGAGTCGCAAACATTGATTACAGTTTTACGGCCACTTTAAATCGGAAATGCAACAGACCACATTGTATGGTGATTACAAATGAAAATTTAATCTTGAAAAGATGCTGATTTTTGGTGTGAATAGATAAGTGTGGATGGAACAAAGCAAAATTGCAGCATTTGCTAATACACCCAACACTTGAATACAATTTTATATTTCAGTGTGTGTGGCATGTTGTTTGTACATAAACATGGGTTTGGCATCAACGGCCCAACATCACAATAAACGGAAATGTTCAACATTGTTGAATTTGCAAAACATTATTCGTTTGGAGATGTGATGCGAATAGGTATTTGTATCAATATAGTATATACAATCGACACCATTCCCAAAAACATAAAATGAAATGGGTCTGCATGAAATGGTCCCATGTGAATGCGATGTGTATTAACTTATACGAGGGGCGTCTGCTGCACAAAAATTGGCGTTACGTGAAATGATATATACGCGTACATATTAGACGATAGAACACATGCCATTACTTTGCAGGAAAAATCCCTCTTTTTGCTCTGAAGCAAGTATCTGCAACCACTCCGATCACAAGTCAACAAGGAAAAAAAATTACGTTTGCCTGAAGTATGCGGAGGAAAATTGCACAAAGCATCATTGACCGACAATGTAAGCGAATAAAAAAATAGAGAAGAAATCTCGTGCGCACCGGCAAAAACATTTCGTTATCGCAACGAAGTTTGACAGCAAACAAAGTTAATATCTCGTTACTATGGCGACCGTCTGATGAGCAGAAAGAGAGCAAATCTATTCCATAGCGACGAGCAGGCATTTGTGTCCGTATGTGTAGGTATTACGTTTACGTGATGTGGGTAATGATTATAATATAATAAATGACACAAAAACATTCTATTTGTTTGCAGAATGGAAATGCGTCTGTCGGCGCTATATTTTTTTCTCTCTCTCAGGTGTAGTGAATTCGGATGTAACTCCAACGGATGTGTTCAAAAGACTATGCAATAACAGCTGCAAAGCGTAGAAATGGTACAATGCGAGTGGCCTTTTAAAGCATAAATGAATTTAATAAATTCTATAAAACATAATACGGTGGTGTATTTTGTGTGTCTGCTTTAGACGAAAATTGAATTGTATAAAAAATACATACACATCAAAGAGTATGTTGAATGGAGAATTCATGAATTGCAATGGCAACCATTGTATTTTGCAAGATCTGAAAAAAAGGCCACGCATATTAACCTCCAAGAGCAACAAAATCAATTTAGTGCCATAAATGGGTGCAGTTCCATTGCCGCATTCGTTATTTTTTATGCGCCAGACATTGCCGTCGACGAATGTGAATGTTCTCGTTACAAATAATCAGAAGTTTATTCACACCCGAAAAAAAACGAGAAGAATTCGTGAAGTTAAGGAATTGCTGCGACGTCTATCAAATAACTTTCGGTTGGAATGGCTTAAAAAAACATTACTTTCGGTCATTATTCTGTTTTTAACGGTCTTGAAATACGATCTTAAATAAATAATAATATTTCCATTTGGTTG